AAAAACCGGAGTGCCCCCCCCCGGGGGAAATTTCTGACAAATCACTGGTGGGGGGGCGCCACAAAGGGGTTTTGGGGGGGGGGGGTGAAATGCATCTTTGTCCCCTGTGCCAAACACTCTAGCTACGCCTCTGCAAGTGGCATAATTAAGGAGGAGGGTGGGGGTGGATGGGGTGGTCCACCCAGGTGGTGTCACTCTTTATATGGGAAGGGGTGTCATTTTATTCGTTAAAGGGAGCGTGACATGAATCTTGGTCCGCTCAGAGTTGCAACATCTACTCCACGGGGCGGTGTATCCATCAGCACCAAAATCAGTGACCAGGGCCAGCTATACTGTCATTATTTTCAGGCAGTAGTGCAGACATCGAGGGCACCGATGGCTCTTGAGCGAAATGATGATGCAGCTCGGAGTATACCTGAATTCAGTGTTTCTATCTATTAGACTACATGATCGGGGAAAGGAATTTTTAAAGCAGAAATTGGGGGGGGGGGGGGGGGACCGAAGACTCTTGAGCACAACCGGGGCCAGGATTCCCCTTAGAATGTTTTTGATAAAATAAAAATGCAGGGATGCATTTTGGCGCATACTTGAATTTGGCGTTTCTTTCAGACATTTCTGGATGGCCATTTCAGACCTTCAAGTGAGACGCGCCAAAATTAGCCATAGTAACGACCAGGACATCTCTAACTCCGCCCCAGCCCAACATGAACTAAATTCATTCCAGTTGTGGCGCGTTTGAGGGTATGCTTCTTGCCCTAGCTTTGTCTCACCCCTTAAATCCATTTTTCCCCATAAATTTAAAATGCGATAGTGCATTTTAGCAGACACCTGCATTTAGTTTTGCATCGTTTTACATTAAATCGCAGAGCAACGGGAGAGATGTTAGTTAAAAATGTAGGTGTCTCTTAATTTCAGAGCCATTGTGTGAGCTTTTCAACCCCTTACGGATGAAGGGGAGCTAGGACAGTTTAGAGGCTTAAAAAGTCAAGCGACGGCTCTGCTTGACCTGGCTGTTTTATACTTTTAAAAAAATATAAATAAATAGTAATGTGGCTTTTTATTTTTATTAAAAAATTTTTTTTTTGGGAAAACTACTTAATTATTAAGAAATAAATTTTCATTTTTTAAATCCAAAATTCGTTTCACCCCCCTCCCTCATACTGTTTACAGACTCTACTGCCACTTATTTTACACATTGAACGGAAATGAAAAAAAAATCAACAAATACCTTGGCTTAATATTTCCAAGTTTTACCAGAGATAAAACAAAAATGAATAGTGTTTTTCAGAAAACTTTAGATCTTATGGGCTTTTTTATGCTGGTCACTTTTAAAAAAAAAATAGTATAACAATAGCATAATAATGATGATAAGAAGACATGAGATGTTTACAAAAGACATCATGTATATTTTAATATGTGATTTTTATCTGAATGAAATAGTATAAAAATTAAATTCAACATTAACGAATTTTGATTGAAATGTTTGTTTCGAAATTTAAAACTAAAAAAAAAAAAAAAAAAAAATCTTCTAATCAGTTAGAAATTGCATCTTCGCCAAACTTTAACATATTTATTTAACCAAATCGATAGAATCTATTTGAAAAAAAAAAAATTAGTCCCAACAATTCGAAAACAAAAATCTAATAAATGCTAATTAAAACAAAACAAACGTTTTTGTAAGCGTTCTACCATGATGACACGTGGGAAGCTGATACTGATACACGACACAGTGACTGGGACTTATGTAGATAAACACTAATTGTGTTCTAGTTGATGGCAGTTACATTAATGAACAACCATGTTAGAGGAAGACAGTGGAAAAAACTGTTTTAATTCCTATATGCGTATACTTCATACTTTTTTATTATACTGAATGAATTAGAGAGTATAGCAAATTTGAAAAGGTTACTTTGTTTTAGCTAATGCGCACACGTGAGATTTACCGAAACAAAAGATCAAATAAAAATGGCGGTTTTCTTGTTACCTGATTTTAAAAAAAAATAAAAATGTTTGTAAAGTACACCGAAGACCATTTCAGAAGTTTGCAAAATTGTTTATTACAAACCACCGAAAGACGTGCCGTGACCATCGCTTTGATGTAACACCAGTATCACATTGTTACACTTACGTTTTCAACAATGTTTCGCGATAAGAACTATCTCCGGGCTACCTGTGCCAGATAGAATGTTCAATCCTATTAGAGAATTATTAAAAAAAAACAAAAAACCCGTTGATCTCTCTTCTGGAACCGCACTGTACTTAACAATAAATCTCGAATCTGTTTTTATACGTAGAGAGCCAACGCCCGCCTTTAGGGTATGCGGCTTGTGCCCTCTAACAGGGCACCTGGGGCGCCCAGTAAATATATAATTTCCATTAGTTTAATATAGTGAAGTATGAACCTCGGGTCCGGGATGGGGAAACGGTATTCTATATTTTCGCCCTATCACTTTTCAAACAATGAGTTTTCGTATGTATAATGAATGTGGATACCAACACTTGGGTTGGGACCAACCGAAAGGGTGTGGAAATTAATTTATTAATACCGTTTTTCCTTGGCCCTCTGCTAATTATTTCAGCAGAAAGAATATGGGGAACAAAAAGCTTTCGGGGCACAAAATCACAAGCGCAAAGTAGAAAAAGTCCTCATGCTCCATCGTCTTCGTCATTATTGGGAAAAGAGCGGAACCATACTGGGAAAAGGAAGGGGGCGCAGAACGGGAGCTTCGCACAGGGCAAAAGTTTACATTAGGCCGGCACTGTAGGGAGCAGAAATATATTTGTCACTGAGTGGAGTTAAATTTAAAAAAAATACTTTTTACGTCTTTTGGTGAATAATATACTTAGAAATAATGTATGAAAGCAATAAAGGAGACAGAACTAGATATCGGAATGGTGCAATTGATGCAATTGTATTTTGAGAATATTTCAATTTGTCAATTGAATACATGCATAAATTGTACGGTGATGGATTCAAACAGGCATGCGTTATGATACTCTGCTTGCTGTCCAGATCCAGCCCACCTCATTGACATACTCTCCTCCGTCCGTGGGTGCAAAATACAGCAAGTCTCACGAAACACTTAAATAACATCTCATTGATACCAGTTTAAAAATGGGAGAAATCATATTTTCCCCGCAGGAGGAAAATTTTACATTTACATTATTTGTACATTTTCATTAATTGTACATTTACATGAATTGTACATTCTTATTAATTGTACTTCAACAGACTATCGTTCAGTTCGTCACATTTTAATACTTTTTGGTCTTCTTTACTTTCCCCATTAGCTAAATGTGTTAGTAGAGCCACTCCAAATTTCTATTTAATATAATTTACCTGATAGTAAAAATAAATATTGGAAAAAGATAAGTTTAGGTTTAAAAAAAATAAATAAAAGTTTTTAAATGTAATTTACACGGCTTAAACGCCCTCCTACCCCACCAACCCCCTTTTTATAATTTATTAAAAATGAAAGCTATTTCTCTCGGTAAACTGAGTTCTTATTCTTTTCATCACACTTTTACTTTAAAAATCTGTGGTCCTATCCAATGTTCCCTTTAAGCTGCGCGGCCGCGCTGCCGCGCAGCTATCTCACAGACGCCGCGCAGCAGTTTTGAGAATCCGCGCAGCAAAGTTACGTGTGTGTGTTTGTGGGCTGTAACAATTTTCTCACAAACAAATTGATGCTGTAAAACTTTGCACACAACCGTATGATTTTGCACACGAAACAGCAAAACTTGGAGGGAACGGTGGTCCTATATTTAAAAAAAAAAAAAGTAATTAAAAAAAAATCAATAATGTTATTCAGCTATGACATTTGCATCAATTTCATTTTGCTAGGTGGTCATTTGAAAACAAAAAAAAACTATAGAGATTGTGAAACGGATTTACAAACATTCTAAATTAAATGTATACCTGTAAACATAATTAATATCAGTGAAAAGAAAAAAAAATAGAAGATATTTATTGGGGTTAGTTCTTCTAAGTAGTAGACCTATCATTTAAGAATGGCGTTTCCTTTTAGAACTTGTGATGCACTTCCTTTTCGTCATTCTCTAATTCAGTTTTTTGTTCGTTTGCCAATTTTTCCGCCTCCTGCTTTTCCCGAAGCTTTTTATTTTCCCAGCGGAAGAGCAAGATGTTGAGGCACAGTGTCAAGATGACCATCAAGTTGATTCCCACATCAACACCAGACAAAAGGTATCTGAGGACAGAAAACAACGAAACCTTTTTTTAAAAAAAATACCAAGCCCATACAAGAAATATTCATGGTTGTTAGGATTAGATCTTTGGATGTAAAAAAAAAAACCAAAAAAAAAAAAAAAAAAAAAAAAAAGAAAAACAAACAAAAAAAAAAAAAAAAAAAAAAATAAAAAAAGAAACCTTTTTTTAAAAAAAAAACCAAGCCCAAACAAAAAATATTCATGGTTGTTAGGATTAAATCTTTGGAAGAAAAAAAAAAAACCAAAAAAAAAAAAAAAAAAAACCAAAACCAAAAAAAACCACTATGTAATAATTTCAAGATTTCCTATACTTTCAACTTCAAGAAAAGTAGAAGTTTCCACCCCAAACAAGCATCTCGCTGGCATTAAAAGCAATCTGAAGAATTGTTTCTTTTGATTATCCCCAACAGATCCAGAAAAAAATTAGAGAGAGAAAAGTATGCTAATATCCAGCACCGCAACTTTATCTTATCTTTAATGGGCATTGAAAGAAAACAAGTACAAACACATTATATAGTTGTATACCAGAAACAAGAAGACTCGATGACACCAAGAAAAGACAATGAAAACCAACGAACTGACCAGAAATTAATGTTCCAACGATACAAATGATATCCCATTTCATAGTTCATAATGAAAGCAAAACAATTTCTCAGCTACGTCTTTCACTCTGATTTCACCGGTTACCGGAAATTTGATCGAAAGAAATTTCGTCGACGGTTAATTGATCGACGGAAATTTGATAGAACGGAAATTTGGTCGAACCTTTTTTTTTCTTCAGTTCACACGTTAACATTTTTGTCAAATTTCTTTTTGAACGCACTATACTATCTGGTAAAACAAAATAATGCGTTCGACCAAAATTCCGTTCGATCAAATTCCCTTCGATCAATTTACCGTCGACGAAATTTCTTTCGATCAAATTTCTGGATACAGATTTCACCACACCCCTTCATTCTTTATTGTGTTAAAAAAAACATAAGTTTAACGTATTACATTTGTACACTACCTAATTTTGTCTCTGTCATACAGCTGGCAAAAATCTTTGTCCCAGATCAGGCAAGTGTCATCAATGATTGATCCAAAAATATTTGGCGAAGGGATACTTACTGAAATCACAATGATAAGAACTTGTTCATAAGGATTTAGGACTGAGTGATTAGGTTTATTATTAATATTAGAATTTTATTAAGCTCTTGAACTTTAACCTAAATTTAATAGGAGGTCAATCTCTAATTACGTCACAATCGGGGGTTGTGAGGGGGGGATGGAGGAGGGGATAAAGCATTTGTGACACTTTGTGAGAGGGGAGTGGGGAGTAAAAAATTTGTAACGTCTCATTTAAAAAAAAAATATTTGTTTATATTATATATATATATATATATATATTTAACAAATCTAATTTTTTTGTTAGTTTTGAAAAAAAAATCTTTATTCAATTAATTAAAAAAAACCCCATTAATTTGAGGTCGAATTGCCCCAGGTATTATAGGTGAAACTCAGTCAACTGTTTTGGACATTTTACATTCGGCTCAGGGATGACTTCGTTGTTTTGCGCAACAGTTTTCTAAAAATATTACATCTTAATCCATAATGGGAAAATGTTAAAGAATAAAATAAAATCTTAGTTTAGTTATGAACATTTTATGAATGTTTTGATTTCTTTTTAGGTGTGACGAGACAATAAACCATTACTTTGCTAAAAAGAACTACTTTGTTCACACACGCCCACACAAAACCATTACTTTGTTCAAGAGAACTACTTTGTTAACACGCGCCCACACAAAACCATTACTTTGTTCAAAAGAACAACTTATTTCACAACTTACTGACATTCATAAAGAACATGAAGAAGCTAATGGCGAATGCTCGGTCACGTGGGTCAACTAATCTGAAGAAAGAAAAAAAAATTGTGACAATTTTTTTTTAGTTACGACAGCAAAATATTTTAAATAATTTAAATCAGAGGTTCGCAAACTTTTCCCGACCACAGCCCCTCTGGGATGATGGTTTCATTCTGTACGTTTCCGGCTTATCCCATTTTTAGGATTCTCCGAATAATCGTTTTTCCAATCCTCTACTAAAGATATTGTTACACAAGTAAATATACGTGTTTAACATTATAAGACATATCGTGCTGTGTACTCAAAATATAAATATAGGCTTTTACTTTAAAAAAAAAAAAGGATAAAAAGCTGATTAATTTGTCATCTAATGTAATGGCTGTTCCGCTCAGAACCTTGTTATTGTCTTCTAATGTAATCACCATTTCGCTCAGAACCTTGTCATTGTCATCTAATGAAATCACCATTTCGCTCAGAACCTTGTCATTTAATGAAATCAACATTCTGCTCAGAACCTTATCACTGTCATCTAATGTATATAATCACCATTCCGCTCAGAACCTTGTCATTGTTATCTAATGTCATCAGTATAATAATAGGTTTCCTAGGGAGAAAGTATTCAGGTTATCAGGATTCAGTCGGATTAAATTTTTCCCTAAACTGGCATCGCTTATAATTTCCGAAGAGTATATGAGGCCAGTTAATCTCCCACGCACAATTAACTGCAAGCTAGCTTCGGAGTCTTAAAATCTCAAACCACGCAGGACTCCTTCTGTCCCACTTGGGGAGAGATATAATATGTACTTTAATTAAATAAAAAAAAAATAGGTAATCGGTTCTGGTTTGTTGTATTTACCTTAAAATGAGGAGATTGCGCGGCACCATGGAGGCACCTTCCACGAAGTACTGCACCCCATGAAGACCTGTGTAGAGGAGGAAGTTGTTGAAGCAGTCCGTATTACAGAGACCCGGCGTGACTATCGCTGGCGACGTCGTGTTCATCAGGCGCGAGCATTCGGTGAAGAGCTGGACAGAGTTTAATACAAAGATTTTTGAACGTAGATTCCAGAAGTTGATTATAAATTATTTCAAAAAAGGAATATCTCTGAAGACCCCGATTGACCATAACTGTCATTGACTCACCTTAACTGTCATTGACTGACTGGATTGACCCTAACTGTCTCCGATTTGACCTGACCGTGTCTGAATGAACCTGACAGACCCGACGTGCTCTTGACTGACCCCGACTGACCCGATGACCTTAACTGAGCCTACCTGTACCAGCTGGAAGCGCCGAGACACCCCACGCACTTTTCACATCCACACGCATGTATGCCTTAAAAGCCAACCCACCTTCCCATCAACACCGGTACAACCTGCGAAGCACGGGGACAGGTAATTCATGCCGTCACTGCCGCAAGATATCAGCTGTTTGGCTGCTGTACAGTTGCAGCTGTCTGTGTCGTTGATAGGAACGCCGCTGAAATGAATTGTATAAACAAAATATTTATTTTAAAAAAGAAAAAAATTACCCAGATGAATCAGACAGGCACGCATAGAAAATGCTTTTGTCAAAGATCCGAAAGTTAACAAAAAAGGTAGGGAAAAAAATGACACTTTAAATTAGGGTTTCCCAACATTTTCTGTGCTCCCCGCACCCTATCAATTATTTGACTAGTCCCAAACACTCTTAAATTTTTTTTTTCTGATTTACGTAGTGAGTTGCAAGAAAAACTGTAGAAACAAGAAAATGAGTGGATGAATTCAAAAAAAGAAAAAAAAAAAAATCATAACTAAAAAGGTAATGTCTAATCTAATCTTTTAATCTCTCTCATATAATATACGATATTAAAAGCTAATGCCTTCTTTGATCTTATAATCTCCCTTTTCTCGCAACCCCCTTAAATGCACCCCACTCACCCCATGGGGATGCAAGCATTCTTGGTCGACAAAACCGTGTTTAAAGTGAAAACGGTCATGATGAACTAAAACACTAGCTGTCAGAGCACAACCAAGGAGGCGTCGTCTACATCGATCTTGGGAAAGAACAAAAACAAAACAGAACAACTCACTATTCGCCTGTGGCGCCAAAGACTTGTTCATTGCCACAACCGAAGATGATGTAGAGGGGGTTGAGGCCGGTTTGGACAAGGTACGAGGCCAGCATGATGTAAAGGTACCCGAATTTGGAGTGGACTCGACTTGCCAACCAGGAGCTGGCCACCGTCCCAGTGATGTGGCCAACGGCAGTACTGATGCCTGTGATTGGATGGATTTAAAGAATTTATTTATTATTTTTAAAAAGTGCATCAGAATCGCAGGAAGCCCCTTCACAAAATTGAATACTCTAAGTACGCTTACAGTCGGTGGGACCTGTAAAAGCTTACACATGAGTTATCCTTTAGAAGAAAGCTTGTAATAAGAACGAAATGACACTTTAAATAAACGCGTTATAACTATACAAGTTAAATAAATAAATAAATAATAAATCGTTTCGGTTTATGGCAACATCATCTTTGAGGGAATTGAAGTTATCTTTTGAGGATTATTTGTTTCGTCTTTTTCAAATGAGTTCCTTCCCATATGCAACATTTCGTGAAATTATGGAAAGCTGCTTCCCTTTAGTAAAGTTTAATTTTATTTCTTTTTATTACATGAGTTGCTTCCCGTTTTTCTTTTTTGCTGCTTTAGCTCAATTTTATGTTCTATGGTCCAATATGCATGAAGAAAATTTAATCAACCCCTCCCCCCTCCCCTCTACCTTCAACAAAAAAAATTAAACAACCCCCCCCCCCCCCCTAAAAAAAACAACAACAAAACAAAACAACCCGCCCCCAAAGTGCTACAGGAGAGTGCCGCATATTGAACTGATTCCTACATATGAATATTTTAGCCATTAGCCATGTTCACATTAGGACAATTACCTGACGCGTACGAGACCTGAGACATGGGGATATTGTACTCATTGGCCATATACACATTCCTAAACATGGACATCCCATTCATGGGTATGGAGATGATGGCAATGTCCACTAGGATCAGAACGTACACAGGAGACCTGAGGAGACGGAGAACAGCACGTGGGAAATCTGCAACAAACACAATATGATGTCATATAATATCTACTTTTGAGAAGAATTAAGATCTGCCAATGCCAAAAAAAATAGATTAGAAAAGCGATCTTATATTTAGCTCTACAAATCCACGGTCCAATTTCTATTGTGGAAAACTAATTATCTTGAATTTAACTTGAATAGTGGCATATAGGTTGCTGGTTGGCCTAGCGGTCTAAACTGATTCAATCTAAATAGAGCAGTGGTTCTCAACCTTTCTAATGTCGCGAACCTTTAATACAGGTCCTCATGTTGCGGCGATCCCATCCACAAAATTATTTTCGTTGATACTTTATAACTGCAGACTATGTGTGTTTTCAGATAGTCTTAGGCGACCCTTGTGAAAGGATCGTGTGACACCCCCCCCCCAAAAGGGGCCACGACCCACAGGTTGAGAACCGCTGAAATAGAGGGTGGTCCCCACCAACTCCAAGACAAGCAAAAAAAAAAAAAAATCACCAGCACCCCGGCAGGAAGGGAACCGTAAAGCTTGGACGGCAACTCATCTAAGATAAGGGGCCACGACCCACAGGTTGAGAACCGCTGAAATAGAGGGTGGTCCCCACCAACTCCAAGACAAGCAAAAAAAAAAAAAATCACCAGCACCCCGGCTGGAAGGGAATCGTTAAGCTTGGACGGCAACTCATCTAAGAGAAGGCGGCAAACTCTGAATTCAAAACCGGAGATGGAGTCCCGCAGGCGGATAACATTGACACAATGAATATTCCGGCAACCCCTGCGACGCTAATGGTGCCAAGCTGTTTGACTCACACGTGATGTTCCCTTGGGTTAACCAGGTGCGTGGGGACAGGCGATTTGCTGCCTCCTAAAGAAAAAATCCCAGGCCTTGTGATTTCTTCCCGCGAGGTCTACACCAACGCCCCTTTGTGACGGACGGATGCCAGTTAAAAAAAAAACAACAGCAAGAACTGGCGTACAGCGGAGAACGTCTCACCTTTCAGCAGCTCCATCATGCTGCTCTCTTGTTTGCCCCTAGTTTCGTTGGTCTGAGGCTCATTTCTACGACGCTTGGTCTGTGCGAAGACGATGTCCCCGGTCAAGCTGACCTTCCGTTCTGTGGGTCCTTCCAGGGGTGGGAACAAACTCGCCCTGAGCAATCACACAAATATGATTTTAAGGGAATGATATAATATTGAATTATACATTACATATCTTTGTTTTCATTTCGTCAGAAATTTTCTTTCTCTCGCCGACTAAGAAAATGTGAATTTTATTTCAGTCGTCAGACTATGATATCTTTTGGTGAGAACGACTAAAATGTCCGTCACGGACTAGTGAACATTCTCAAAAAGTTAGACTATGTTTTTCACATAATATTTTAACTATAGTGGTGCACTACACATTGATCTGTTTTTTATTTACTATTTTAGCCAAGGTCAGCTCCAGTCTTTAACAGTCCCACAGATACCAACGCAATGTTTTAAAATCTCGCTTCTAAACGGTCAATACATCTTTTAAAATAAGAGTTGTAAATAAATCAACAGGATTTCATTATGAAAAACGAAGCCTTAAATTCCCCCCTCCCAGATATTAACACTAAAATAGTTGTACGATTATAAATTGTGTATTTTATTGCTGTGTTTCCCATGAACATTTCGATGGACTTGTATGGATTTGTAATAATTGATGGACGCATTCAAGTTGTGTATATAAAATATAAGAAAAAGGTGTGCTGAACTTGAATAAATAAGGCAAAAGATTTGTTTGGACTTGTATGGACTTCTATGGGTTTGGTTTTTGACCACATACGTTTGACCATTTAAAAACAGCAGTGGTTGCCAAGGGAAAAGTTAAGATAGATCCACCTCCCCCTCCCCCTTTCCACAAACAAGCTGATATAATCTTTGAACTAAAACATTAGGAACATCCTACTGAATAGAAGATTGATTAAGTCACATTTCAGTAGGAACTAATAACTAGCATTACAGTTAGTCAATTTCTGAGGAGCAGCATTTCATTATATGAACTGTGTATAAACAGTTTAAATGTCATTTAATTATATCAACTGTATACAACAGTTTAAATGCCCTCTAATTCAACATTGAAGTCTCTGGTTTTTTTTTAACACGAGCCCCCCTTAGTTAACCTCACCTTCTACTGCTCGGGTGACTGTTGGACGCATTACTGTTTTTCCTAGAGGACTGCAAGCTGAAGCGTCTCTTAGCGGGAGAGAGGAAGTCGTTGTCTTCTGACGTAATCACGATGATAGGTTTCCTACGGGATGAAATCAACGACGGGATTTTAACGGTAACATTGCTGAAAGGAATGGTGAGCGTTAATCCGGTTGCGTCATTAGGATTGGTGTCACCCGGTGAGGATGAATCACGGACCCCTGGTGACAAATGGCTCCGGTGGCAACCAGATCGGGTGCGAAACCAGCTCTGGTGGCACCCTGCTCCGGTGGCAACTTGCTTTAGTGGCAACCTGCTCTGGTGGCGTGGCAACCTGTTCTGTTGGTATAGCCTGTTCTGTTGGCCACGTGTTCTTGTATTTAACTACGATACGCTTAATGAAAATGACGGGAGCAAGCTATGTCAAATTTTCAGTTTTCCATTCAGCGTCATCCATAACTAGGATGTCAACCAGGATGGTCCGCACACCACATCACCCTAGCGACACGACTGGTTACATCCGTTTAAAGACATTTTTAAAAAAAATCACCATCAGTTGGCTGGAAAACAAGACATGTCACTAATCAATAATATTAATTTTAAACTAAAAACAAACGCCGGACTTTTAGACGTGAAACAAAAATTCAGCTGCACAGATTCTTCACTTACTCCGCTTCCTGTTCTTCTTCCTGTTCATTGACATGACCCCCCGCGAAGGTGACGGTCGCTTTATCCAGCGCCCTCTGTTGTTTCTTCTTGGAGATGAGCTGCTTGGGGAAGAGAATTAGCGGAAACGATGCGATGACGGTGCCCACACCGAAGATGAGGAAGGCGAGCCACCACGCGGCCACGAACCGGCTGTCCTTGGGGTTCATCTGAGTCTCTGAAACAGGGAATTATTCAATAGATGGACAAGAGTTTTAAAACTCTACAGCAGTTTTTCCAAAGCTTTCAAGTATGGCGGAACGGCGTACATGTTTCCAACCGCACCTTGGACCTGTGCCACTTCTAATATTTATATTTTTTAGATGGACCTTAAAATGGCACGATATCCCACAAGACTCTATTAACTATTACAATTACCATTTGATGTTAGCATAGCTTATTAGTTTTTTTTTATGGCTGCTCTCAAATAAAAACAACTTAAATACCAGTTAGAAAAAAAAAACGTTAATGTGTCGCATACATGGTGTAGTTGTGTGGCACGATACTTAGAGATACAAACTTGCATGTTTAGGCATCACTATGTTTAAAGTAGCCGAAAATGCTTGCGCTCTAGTTCATTCCCAATCTGCAATTAGCTTCGTTCGCTTGGTCAAATTGTTGTGTGTTTTATCTGGTATCCCCATTTTCCCCATACAAACGCCACAGTGGGTTTGTTGGTTTAGTCATCATTTTGTAGATCCTATTTATGCTTTTAAAATTTGTTTCGCCTTGATTTGTTTGTGCTTTTCTTTGTAGCTTTGGATTTCTTAAAAATTTAAACTTGCATTGCGGGATATTTTTATGCTCAAGGCAATCTCGCGTATATGCTGGATTCGATAACTGACTCAAACGATGTAACATTTAACTTAGTTCAAAAATGTGTCGACTCATGTAGTGCGGTAACGTAAGGCTCTTGGAGCAGAACTGGTCCGCAGTCCACCACTTTGAGAACCACTGCTTGAAAGTAGTTTTAACGTGTTTAAAAAGCAATGGAATACCATTTTTGTTTAAAGTGACATAATATATAATTCGGAGTTAGTGGAGTTGAACGATGACTAGTCATTGGACGACACAGACTTTTAAGGTTAAATTAAAGTCCCAATCGATAATCTGGTCTTAACACGTCAGATATATTGTCAGTCCTCTGTAAATGCTTTTACCTTTAAGGTCCACCGGGATCTCAGTCAGAATTCCATTAATCTCTGTGCCCAAAGGTTGTGCTAAGTTGGAGAATAGCTGACGAATACCTGAGGAAGATGTTGACACGTGATTGCATCATGTTCTTATGCGTTCTTGATTTCCAAAAAAAAAACAAAACAACAACATACATCTCAATATTAGTGAGTAGACAAGCTGTAAGGTAACTTAATGAGATGGTTTGTCAAAGTCATACATTTCAATATTAGTGGGTAGATAACCGTAAAGTAACAATTAATGAGATGATTTGTCAAAGTCATACATCTCAATATTAGTGGGTAGATAACCGTAGAGTAACAATTATCGAGATGGTTTGTCAAAGTCATGTATCTCAATATTAGTGAGTAGATAAACTGTAAGGTAACTAATGAGATGGTTTGTCAAAGCCATGCATCTCAAAATTAGTGGGTAGATAAACGGTAAGGTAACTTAATAAAATGGTTTGTCATAGTCATACATCTCATTGTCAGTGGGTAGATAAACTGTAAGGTTACTTAATGAGAAGGTCTGTCAAAGTCATACATCTAAATATTAGTGGGTAAATAAACTGTAAGGTAACTTAATGAGATGATTTCAGGTCAAATTCATGCCCCTATTTCACAGTAATTTTATTTTCTTATTTCTTATATTTGACATGTTTCAATTTTTGTTGGTCCATTGCAATCGTTTGTTTCACAGTTATGATACATGCTCTCTTCGTTTACCTCGTGTCATAGTTTGGATAGCACACAGATTTGGTGTCGGAAAAACGCCAAAACTCCAAACTCTTAAGATTTTGAACTGTTTTCTATTTCTTGTTGTTTCTCCTTTTGTCCTGTCTGCTGAGGAAGGCTCTTAGCCGAAACGTTCTCATTTTATAGTCTTGTCTTTACATTTCAAGTTTCCACATTCCTTGTTCCACTATTTCCTTCAAATACCTCCAAGACAGTTCTTCATTTATTATCATACCAATCTACTTAGCATGTTTTCTTGGAGTCTGGTATTTTGGTTTGTTGGAATCTAATATTTTGTTTTGTTGTCTGGTATTTTGTTTAGTTGGTGTCTGGTATTTTGCTTTTTTTTGAGTCTGGTATTTTGTTTAGTTGGTGTCTGGTATTTTGCTTTTTTTGGAGTCTGGTATTTTGTTTAGTTGATGTCTGGTATTTTGCTTTTTTTGGAGTCTGGTATTTTGTTTTGTTGGTGGCTGGTATTTTGCTTTTTTTGGAGTCTGGTATTTTGTTTTGTTTGAGTCTGGTATTTTGTTTTGTTGGAGTCTGGTATTTTGTTTTGTTGGTGTCTGGTATTTTGCTTTTTTTGGAGTCTGGTATTTTGTTTTGTTGGTGTCTGGTATTTTGCTTTTTTTGGAGTCTGGTATTTTGTTTAGTTGGTGTCTGGTATTTTGCTTTTTTTGGAGTCTGGTATTTTGTTTTGTTGGTGTCTGGTATTTTGCTTTTTTTTTTAGTCTGGTATTTTGTTTTGTTGGTGTCTGGTATTTTGCTTTTTTTGGAGTCTGGTATTTTGTTTTGTTGGTGTCTGGTATTTTGCTTTTTTTTGGAGTCTGGTATTTTGTTTTGTTGGTGTCTGGTATTTTGCTTTTTTTGGAGTCTGGTATTTTGTTTAGTTGATGTCTGGTATTTTGCTTTTTTTGGAGTCTGGTAATTTGTTTTGTTGGTGTCTGGTATTTTGCTTTTTTTGGAGTCTGGTATTTTGTTTTGTTGGTGTCTGGTATTTTGCTTTTTTTGAGTCTGGTATTTTGTTTTGTTAGTGTCTGGTATTTGTTTTGTTGTCTGGTATTTTATTTTGTTATCTGTTATTTTATTTTGTTATCTGGTATTTTATTTTGTTATCTGGTATTTTATTTTGTAATCTGGTATTTAGTTTTGTTGGAGTCTCGAATTTTGTTTAGTTGGTGTCTGGTATTTTGCTTTTTTGGAGTCTTGTATTTTGTTTTGTTGGAGTCTGGTATTTTGTTTGTATAATTGGAGTCATTTCTATTTTTGGTATTTAAAAAATCTGGTTCTCAAGTTAGTGTGCTTGACAATTGGCACTAAGAATGTGTTGCTATGAGTTTTATTTATAACATAAATTTGGAGGGCGTTAATCTCAGCCAAGTTTGACACTAATTTGGGATGGCGATAATCTCAGCCAAGTTTGACAATAATTTGGGATGGCATTCATCAAAGCCACGTTTGACACTAGTTTGGGAGGGCATTCATCTCAGCCAAGTTTGACACTAGTTTGGGATGGCATTCATCTCAGCCAAGTTTGACACTAATTTGGGATGGCGATAATCTCAGCCAAGTTTGACACTAATTTGGGATGGCATTAATATCAGCCACGTTTGACACTAATTTGGGATGGCATTAATATCAGCCAAGTTTGACACTAATTGAGATGGCGATAATCTCAGCCAAGTCTAACACTAATTTGGGATGGCATTAATATCAGCCAAGTTTGACACTAATTTGGGATGGCATTAATATCAGCCACGTTTGACACTAATTGAGATGGCATTAATATCAGCCACGTTTGACACTTATTGAGATGGCATTAATCTCAGCCAAGTTTGAAACCTATTTGGGATGGCATTAATCTCAGCCAAGTTTGAAACTTATTTGGGATGGCATTAATCTCAGCCAAGTGTGACAAAAATTGAGATGACATTAATCTCAGCCAAGTTTGACATTAATGCAGGTAATTTGACCATTTTGGTAAAATAGCTGAAAGGTAATTCGTCGTGTCTACTGACCCATATAAATGGACATCTTGGTCTTGTCCACGGCATTGTCGTCCATGTAAACAGGTGGCAGGAAGAAGGAGTGGAATGTGTCCGTGACACCTTTCAACACCTGCATAGCCAACACCACTATGAAGGCGACGTCGTTGATCTTTGAAAACGATATTTATTAATTGGCACATGCTATTATTGTAATAGCATAATTATTATAGAGCACATTCTATTATTGTAATAGCATAATTATTATAGGGCACATTCTATTATTGTAATAGCATAATTATTATATGGCACATTCTATTATTGTAATAGCATAATTATTATAGGGCACATTCTATTATTGTAATAACATAATTATTATAGGGCACATTCTATTATTGTAATAGCATAATTATTATAGGGCACATTCTATTATTGTAATAGCATAATTATTATAAGGCACATTCTATTATTGTAATAACATAATTATTATAGGGCACATTCTATTATTGTAATAACATAATTATTATAGGGCACATTCTATTATTGTAATAACATAATTATTATAGGGGACATCCTATTATTGTAAAAAGATACTTATTATAGGGCACATTCTATTATTGTAAAAAGATAACTATTAAAGCGCACATTCTATTATTGTAAAAAGATAATTATTATAGGGCACATTCTATATTATAAAAATATACTTATTATAAGGCACACTCTGAGAGATACATGTATGTAAATATATAAGATGTGGAAACGAGTTTGTGGTTTTCATAACAATTCGGTGGGCTGAAGGCTTGGTTCATGGGCCCACTTTTCATTTTGTGTTCATACATAGTGAACTACTGTTTAACTTATGCATGAAGGTGTCAAGAGCTGCAAAAAAAGTTTTTAAAATCGCACAAGAGGAGACAGCCGCAAAGGCTAATTCCTAATTAAAATACCCATTTATCCTGCCTGTTTAACATACCTATTTAACCTTCCAATTTAACATACCTATTTAGACTACCTATTTAAACTAGCTATTTAACCCCACCTTATTTTCCAGTTAATGTATAATGGCTGTGTTGCTCTGGGTTGAAATGGCAAGAAAGACTTTGAGATTGTTGCTTGTAATTAGTTTTTGTAGTGTTGCGTTTGTTTTAAATGTGGTAAATTATAGATATGTTTTTTGTTGACTTTGTACCGCGCTTCGAGCCTTTGGGGATGAAGCGTGTTTTTGAAATGAACTTTATTATTATTATTATTATTATTTATCCCACCCATCCATTTAACGTACCTATTTAACCTACGTATTGAAATCCATTTGTGAAAAAATATTTCCCCCCACGCTACTGAATACAGTAACGGAGCACATAATTCGGTTTAGCCCGTAGACTTACCAAAAATATTATGGCATAATAAAGCCCAAATTTTATTGTTATTGTTAAAGAAATAAAACAATATCATTCCTAATAAACATTTAGGCGGGAAAAGTTTTCAAAGAAATCCCAAGGACACTTATTGATTTATTTGACAACATTTAATGCATAACCTCTAAATTTGTGATTGTAGTCTCCGTATAAATGAGCGGTTTTCAACCCCTTTGGTGGTCGAGCGACCCTTACAGGGGTGTCGCCTAAGACCGTAGAAAAACATGCATTTATAAAGCAGCATCGAAAATAATTTTATGGTGAGGGGGGGGGGGTCCACCATAATATGACGAACTGTATCAAAGGATCGCGGCAGTAGGAAGGTTGAGCTGGAGAACCACTGGTATAAATAGATTCAATAAACCATGATGAATTTAAAATATTCTGCGATCCTCTCCCTTTTAAATCGAGGAGGTGACGTCAGCGCAAACACATATTTTTTGCGATAACTGGTTTAAAAAAACCGTTCCCCGAGCCCTGATATCACGTATGAATGAAACTATTTCTTCTGTACCTCTTCGCTGCTGGCGCCATCAGATGCGTTGCTGTTTCCATGACCTGCTGTGCCAGTGAGACCACCATTGCACGTGTACTTGGAGCTGCTATCATTATGGTTAGATTCATTGTTGGAAGTTCTGTTTAAAAAAAATAATGTGTGGTCAAGTTGTGGTGGTAAGTGGGTTCCAGTTTGTGTCCATGGGTTCCCCCGCGTTTCGTTTGGTTCCTGTGTGTCAAGGGGTTCCTGTGTTTCAATGGGTTCCTGTGTGTGTCAAGGGGTTCCTCTGTTTTTCAATGGGTTCATGTGTGTGTACATGACTTGATGTGTGCGCTGATGGGTCTATGCGCGAGAACGGGTTTTTCGTTATGTGTCAGTGGGTTCCTGTTTGTTTTAATGGGTCCTTGTGTCTTTCAAAGGGTTCATGTGTGTCATTGGGTTCCTGTATGTTTAAATGGGTTCCTTTATGTGTCCCGTGTATGTGTGTGTGAGTGTGTCAATGGCTTTTTGTGCGTGTGTATCAATGGGTTCCTGTATGAGTTCATAATACGAGTCAATGCCTCCTGTGTCGATGTATTCCATTGTCAATGGGTTCCTGTGCCACTGGGTTCCTGTGTTGATGTGTTATTTTTTTCCTGTGTCAATGGGCCCCCCGTGTCAAGGGGTTCCCAGTAACAAATATTTTATATAGATTGGATTGTATTTGACCTAGATTCAAATAATTTACATACATCTATTTGTATTTTGCCCAGCACTCACAAGATCTCCAGTTGGTAAGGATTGGTGTACTGTAAGACTGCAGGCATCATTAAGATAAAGCCCTGTACCACGCCAGACACTCCAATGATGACGGGAATGTTCGATTTCTAGTGGAAACAGAGAGAGAATAAAGCACAATTAGTGATCAAACCATTGAAAATAGATTTACGGATCTAAACTAAAATGTATTGAGGGCACTTCCAATGGCTTTCAGAGCATTAAAACTATTTATTTGAATTTCCTGAAAAGATGAAAAAAAAAACAAACAAACAACAACAATGGCACACCATTAATTTTAATATCTTTACAATGTCTGAACTGTAAAAAAATATTTTTCTTGTTGTTGCTAATCACCTCTTTGATGCGGTATTAACCAAAGCACAATTTCGCATAGCCGGAATTTATTTTCCTGCTTGGTTTTACACGGCACTTGGGGACAACTTCCTTCCTGCGCTATAACTCTTCGTTTTTTTGTGAGAGAATTGTGCCCAGTCTTTTCCCTCTTTCTATGCTTATTAAATAGCACGGAATCCTACCGTAGTATATATATATATATATATATATATGTTGTTTTTGTTTTACTGATAAAGATATAGACATTAGAAGAATCTTCTAAATTTGTATTTTATTCTTTGCTAAAACTTAAGGATAGTTAAAAAAAAACAAAAAAACAACCACATTGCTCTTTGCATGGCCTTACGTCAGACCATTTGTTTTGGATATCGTCTCTCACTTCATCACAACGATGGATTGTGTATTTTACTCTGTTCGTTTATTTAACTTCACCACAAAACTGAATAGTTCATTCTCATGTCATACGTTTATTTCACTTCACCACATCACTGAATAGTTCATTCTCATGTCATACGTTTATTTCACCTCATCACACCATTGAATAGTTCATTCTCATGTTATACGTTTATTTCACTTCACCACACCATTGAATAGTTCATTCTCATGCTTTACGTTTATCTCACTTCACCACACCAATGAATATTTCATTCTCATGTCATACGAAGTAGTTCATTCTTATGTGATACGTTTATTTCACTTCATCACACCATTGAGTAGTTCATTCTCATGTCATACGTTTATTTAACTTCATCACATCATTGAGTAGTTCATTCTCATGTCTTACGTTTATTTCACTTCATCACACCATTTAGTAGTTCATTCTTATGTGATACGTTTATTTCACTTCATCACATCATTGAGTAGTTCATTCTTATGTGATACGTTTATTTCACTTCATCACACCATTTAGTAGTTCATTCTTATGTGATACGTTTATTTCACTTCATCACACCATTTAGTAGTTCATTCTTATGTGATACGTTTATTTCACTTCACCACACAATTGAGTAGTTCATTCTCATGTCATACGTTCATTTCACTTCACCACACCATTGAATAGTTCATTCTCATGTCATACGTTTATTTCACTTCACCACACCATTGAATAGTTCATTCTCATGTTATACGTTTATTTCACTTCATCACACCATTGAATAGTTCATTCTCATGTCATACGTTTATTTCACTTCACCACACCATTGAATAGTTCATTCTCATGTTATACGTTTATTTCACTTCATCACACCATTGAGTAGTTCATTCTCATGTCATACGTTTATTTCACTTCACCACACCATTGAATAGTTCATTCTCATGTCATACGTTTATTTCACTTCACCACACCATTGAATAGTTCATTCTCATGTTATACGTTTATTTCACTTCACCACACCATTGAATAGTTCATTCTCATGTCATACGTTTATTTCACTTCATCACACCATTGGGGACAACTTCCTTCCTGCGCTATAATTCTTCGTTTTTTCACTTCTCATGTCATACGTTTATTTCACCTCATCACACCATTGAATAGTTCATTATCATGTTATACGTTTATTTCACTTCACCACACCATTGAATAGTTCATTCTCATGTCATACGTTTATTTCACTTCACCACACCATTGAATAGTTCATTCTCATGTTATACGTTTATTTCACTTCACCACACCATTGAATAGTTCATTCTCATGTCATACGTTTATTTCACTTCATCACATCATTGAATAGTTCATTCTCATGTCATACGTTATTTCACTTCACCACACCATTGAATAGTTCATTCTCATGTTATACGTTTATTTCACTTCATCACACCATTGAATAGTTCATTCTCATGTTATACGTTTATTTCACTTCACCACACCATTGAATAGTTCATTCTCATGTTATACGTTTATTTCACTTCATCACGCCATTGAATAGTTCATTCTCATGTTATACGTTTATTTCACTTCATCACACCATTGAATAGTTCATTCTCATGTTATACGTTTATTTCACTTCACCACACCATTGAATAGTTCATTCTCATGTTATACGTTTATTTCACTTCATCACACCATTGAATAGTTCATTCTCATGTTATACGTTTATTTCACTTCACCACACCATTGAATAGTTCATTCTCATGTTATACGTTTATTTCACTTCACCACACCATTGAATAGTTCATTCTCATGTTATACGTTTATTTCACTTCATCACACCATTGAATAGTTCATTCTCATGTTATACGTTTATTTCACTTCACCACACCATTGAATAGTTCATTCTCATGTTATACGTTTATTTCACTTCATCACACCATTGGGGACAACTTCCTTCCTGCGCTATAATTCTTCGTTTTTTCACTTCTCATGTCATACGTTTATTTCACCTCATCACACCATTGAATAGTTCATTATCATGTTATATGTTTATTTCACTTCACAACACCATTGAATAGTTCATTCTCATGTCATACGTTTAATTCACTTCATCACACCATTGAATAGTTCATTCTCATGTCATACGTTTATTTCACTTCATCACACCACTGAATAGTTCATTCTCATGTCATACGTTTATTTCACTTCATCACACCACTGAATAGTTCATTCTCATGTCATACGTTTATTTCACCTCATCACACCATTGAATAGTTCATTGTCATGTCATACGTTTATTTCACTTCACCACACCATTGAATAGTTCATTCTCATGTCATACGTTTATTTCACCTCATCACACCATTGAATAGTTCATTCTCATGTCATACGTTTATTTCACTTCATCACACCACTGAATAGTTCATTCTCATGTCATACATTTATTTCACTTCACCACACCGCTGAATAGTTCATTCTCATGTCATACGTTAATTTCACTTCATCACACCATTGAATAGTTCATTCTCATGTGATACGTTTATTTCATTTCACCACACCATTGAATAGTTCATTCTCATGTTATACGTTTATTTCACTTCATCACACCATTGAATAGTTCATTCTCATGTCATACGTTTATTTCACTTTATCACACCAATGAATAGTTCATTCTCATGTCATACGTTTATTTCACTTTATCACACCATTGAATAGTTCATTCTCATGTCATACGTTTATTTCACTTTATCACACCAATGAATAGTTCATTCTCATGTTATACGTTTATTTCACTTCACCACACCATTGAATAGTTCATTCTCATGTCATACGTTTATTTCACTTTATCACACCATTGAATAGTTCATTCTCATGTCATACGTTTATTTCACTTCATCACGCCATTGAATAGTTCATTCTCATGTTATACGTTTATTTCACTTCATCACACCATTGAATAGTACATTCTCATGTCATACGTTTATTTCACTTCATCACGCCATGGAATAGTTCATTCTCATGTCATACGTTTATTTCACTTCATCACACCATTGAGCGGTCATTTACACTGCACTAAGAAATCCACTTGGTACACAATCGAAATTACTTCTTAGTTACCTCCAGCAGAATATGAATACCAGGCCAAAAGCCCCTCCATGAATCTAACCAAAAACAACTCTTCTCTCTCTGTACGTCTCTCAAATCTTTCTCTCCAAATTTGAACCCCCCAAAAATCCACCCACCACATGACAAGAGTTCACACTGGTTCCCTTAACAGGATAGTCAAAATCAGGATACACAACACGCTTCTCATTCCATGACCTGGACGCTCTTGCCATATAAATGACTAAGACTAGGACTCTTTACACTGCTACCCAGTATTTAAAATAAAGACACTAGATATTGCGCCGAGTCTGCCATCTCATTTGGTGGCTTTGCACAAATTTTCATATTAAATATATAATATGAGCAGGTTAATTTTATACAATAAAAGTGGAGGGGAAAAAAAAACACCCACACATTGGCACAGCATCTCTATGAACTAAAAACATGAGAGAGGGTACTTACCCTTGTGAAATGACCAGCGAATAGGATGGTTGACATGAGGCCAATTTTGCTACACGTCGTCAGCAGCCCTGCCTTGGCATTGTCGATATTGAACTGTTTCTCCAAGGACTTGAGCTGGGAAAGGAGGGGGGGGGGGGGAGGGGTTTAAAGGATTTAAATGTTAAATTCAAATCTGACCGTTGGTTAAAAAGCCTGTCGCAAGAACGCTAAGGTTACACTATAGGATGGTTGACATGAGGCCCATTTTGCTACCCGTCGTCAGCAGCCCTGCCTTGGCATTGTCGATATTGAACTGTTTCTCCAAGGACTTGAGCTGGGAAAGGAGGGGGGGGGGTAGGGGATTAAAGGATTTAAATGTTAAATTCAAATCTGACCGTTGGTTAAAAAGCCTGTCGCAAGAACGCTAAGGTTACACTCGTCCGAAACTTCATACATCTGACGTCATCATTATTGCATTGGGTTTAAATTCTGAATTCGAATTTCCCCCCAACACAGGTGACTACTTACTTTAGAGAATGACATGACTCAATGAGGATCGAATGGGTCGAGTAAGCGCTTTATAACATTATATGAATTGTTAAAGTACATTTACTGTATATAACTGATGTAATAAAGTATTGCAAAGGTAAATAGTTCATGTGTGATTATATGGTATGTATTTACATGTAACCTATCATCATAGGGCAACAATTTACCGTATTTTCGCGTACATAAGACGCGTCTTATACGAAGTTTACGAACCTCGCACCCAGGGTGCGTCTTAAATATGGATGCGTCTTATGTAAAAAAAAATTTTTTTTTACACAAATCGTTATTGCGGCCCTGCCTCCTACAATGCTTTGATCTACAGGTCAACTAAAAAAATGGTAATGAAACCGTGTTCCCATCCGACGGGTGATGAAACGCTGGACAAAATGTTCATTCATGATAAAGGAAAGGGAACCACCGGATACAAGTTGCTCAGTGCGGCTGACGGCCCGGCCGCGTGCGTCTCGTCTAATTGATGTTTACACACATCGTCAAAACCCGCGTCTTAACTACGGGTGCGTCTTATAATTAGGTCCGTCTTATATACGGGTGCGTCTTATAATTTGGTTCGTCTTATATACGGTTGCGTCTTATAATTAGGTCCGTCTTATATACGGTTGCGTCTTATAATTAGGTCCGTCTTATATACGGTTGCGTCTTATAATTAGGTCCGTCTTATATACGGGTGCGTCTTATAATTAGGTCCGTCTTATAATCGGGAAAATACGGTAGTTGATTAGTGAATAATGGCCTTATCCGGTCCAAAAAAAAAAATAAAAAATTATCACGTGATTGAAGAGTGATCACCTTTCTATTATAAGTATATTTGGAAAGTACACATAATTTTGCATTTAACATTTTAGGTTTGCCAACTGTTGACAGGCGTGGTAATGTTAGTGTACAATTTTTGGGGAACGGATTTATAATTTGCTGTATCCTTCAACGTCAATCTGTGGTCACCGTCCCGTGAAAGCGTAACGGAAATTACGGAGATTCGATTTCAGTGGCTGAAAATTTAACTTGAGATTTGACATTTTCATGCATATTAGAAAATGACGCACTTCTAAGATATATAACGTTTTTATTCATTTTTAATTCTTTTTTTAAAAGTCGTGAAGTGTAATTTCGTAACGCTCACCCGGTCACTCTGCACAGGCACTCACCTGGACGGGGATGATTCGATCCACCATGGTAGAGAACAGTGCGGCTATCCCCACACACACGGAGAACACGTAGAGGTTAGAGAAGTAACGACCGAAGACATTCGTCCTGAAATTCCAGATACCGCAGGAGATATCTACGTCATCGTCGTCTTCCTCCGCGTCGTCGACATGGGCTGACGTCACGTCAACCTGGGGGTGGGGCGGGGAGTAGAAATGATATTAAACAGTGTTGATACTTTTAAAAAAAAAATAAAACTAGTAGGGATATGCTCAAATTTATCTGACTTAAAGGAATAGTATAGTTAAAATCCCTAGTACTCTGGGCACCACCTAACAACCGTATTATATACGACACACTCCATACTTAAAGGATAAGATAAGAATCCCTAGTACTCTAGTGCAGTGGTCGGCAAATCGCGGGTCGCGAGCCACATCCGGCTCTCTAACGACCTGAGTGCGGTTCGGTCAGTCGGCCATAAAATTGGTTTCGACTCCGGCAAACTTGGCTCTTGAAAGTTTCTTGAAAAGAAAATTGGGCCTCAACAAAAATTTAATCGTCCTGCTGCTGACTTTTTGGCTCTTCTGACTAATGTGTTTGCCGACCACTGTCCTCTCAGGCCAACCCAAAAACACCTATTACATACGAAACACTAACACACTGATTGTTCAAATGTATTAGGAAGTTTTTAAAAGTCTTGTTACAAAAATCCTCAGATACATGTTTCACGTTAGAGAGTAAGGTTCTGAAGCTTTGAGCATGTCAACCTTTTTGCAATACATTTAAATACAAAAAAACGTTATATGATTTTGTTGAGTTTTATTTCCAAAAATTTTTATAATGGTCAACTGTTGTCTTAAATTTCTGTTAAAAACCTGAAATTACCAGTTTGTTTTCTTTGTCCAAGTTCTTCGAGTTTTCCCTGTACCCGTAATCTCCTTCTGTCTGTTTATCCACGCGAGGTAATTCATTTTTCTCATCAGAATAAGCGTGATTATTGAGTCCATATTTTTTTGTCATTCTCTTAGAAATCTTGAACGGACACACCAGATCCCGGAAATTCTATCATTCACTGATTATCTGACTCCGGGGAAAATGATGTCACAATTTATTACTGAAATAAAAAGTGAACCGGTAAATAACAGGAACAAGAACGTTGAATGATCACGAAGAAATGGGCGACATTCTAGGATTAATCCGACATACGGCCAAATGCTCCAAACCCCAACGGTGTAACTGATATGTACATAAATGTACACAAACAACTACTACGCATGCTTATGTACAATAAGTTCAGCCTGGCCCTATCACATCGATTGTCCTCAACTTTAAATACCCAAGAAGATGGCAGCTGATGTTGCGGTACCCGATTCTTGGAGGCCAAGGAACACTAGGTTCAATGACGTTCAATGACGTCATAATTTGGGTAAGTAGTTTTTAAATGTGCCTGGCAAGAAAAGATAGCGATTTATTAATATCGACAATTATTTACGCGAGGACTCGCAAAATGTACAGACTTTTGTATAAAAGTCACTCATTGACAATTTAAAAATAGGATTTACAAAAATACACAAAGAAATGAAAGAAAGTACATGCGAATTTAACACATTAAAATATAATAGATCGTCTCCCTCTCCTTTATTTACAAACACACAAATGGAAACTACAGACAATTTACATCCCTAAAAAATAACAGGCCATCAAAAATAACAACTACCTCTGCAATTAGTGCATTCTTTGTTAACCTCTTCCTAAAATTGATTATGAAATGATATTTCTTCAAATGTGTGTTCAGGAAAATCGTTTTTTTTTTTCCTAACCATGAGAATTGAATATAAAAAATAAAGATGTTACAATTTAATAACCAACTTCGATTAAGCATAACTAATAATCTATTATTGATTTACTCATGGGTTATCGAGGTTTGGGGGGGGGGGAGGTAGGCAGTTCCAAATAACATAAAGACCAGGTTGCCAAATCCTTTGAATATTCTGATATTAACGTAAGAACCGTTACATTGACTTGATTGATAATTGATAAACTCAGCAGCAGAGCCTCGGGCGCCTTAACTCCAAGTATTTTGTCTCTATAAAAAAACAATAACAATACTTTACAACATCAATAACTTGTTTATTTAAATATAAAACATCAACAACCATGTTCGTTTGTGTTTTTTAAAACATAATTCATCCAAACAATCCAGCGCCTCCCCACAACCTTTAAACACCACCCACCCCCCACCCGTGTTGTAAACAATCTCGTAGTCAAATATCGCATCATAACATTAATTTAAAATATAATGAATTGGGACGGCGCCAGAGGTTTGAACCCTAGCGCCCCTCGAGTACCATACTGGTTATCTGTCGTTGAGAGACAAGATCACTGGAGACCCTGAAGAGAGTGACAAGTGGATCCGAACAAGGCTGTTGGACCTGGATCAGAGCACGACGCTTACTGATTGTACGGCAGGCCACTTGGGGGTCAAACTAATGGAGGCACATTCAGATGTCAACTTTTTCATGTGTCAGCACATTCAAATACAGTCATACCTCGATTGTCATCAAACTTTAGAGATGTTAGCCGTGATGGATCAGGAGGAATCTCGAATATTTGGTACGTGTCACCTACACTGCTAAGACCTGCTTATTTCTAGAGTTCGACTCATAAACATGATCCAAAAAATTCATGCAGCCAAAAGCACTTTAATTCCATTTCAAAGTTAGCGAAATATATTACCTTAAAAAAGTGGTTTACGCAATAACAATACTATGTAAAAGCTTTTAATCTTCATGAAGTCACATAAACTGATAAAAACTTTATATCTTCTATATGGTCCCTTTTTGGGACAGTATAGGGCCTACTAAAGGTTTTGGCGCCGTTTGTCTTTGTGGACTGCCTTGCATTTTATCCTATAATTCGACCTGATAGGCGATTTTAGCATGCCCTCACCCAAATGTTGGCACCCCTTAGAGTCCCCTTCGCACTGGCTAGTAAGTCTCGACCTTAAAAACGAGGACTCATCTTAACTGACTGGGTAGTTTGGTGAACTTTGTGAAGGCTAAAATTAGTTTAGAAAGAAATCCAAGGTAAGCGAACTCTAAGACATCAGTGACTCTCCTGTTAAAAGCTAGTACTCTCCCCTTGATGTTAACAGTCTGCACGGCAGTATTACGTAATTTTACATAAAGTTGCCATTACAAAACATCAAAACAGCTGCAAATCGTGATATAATGTTATTATTTTTAACGTTTTCACAGATGAGCTAAATAAAACGCTTATAATGACCAATTAGACAAAATTTAATTAAAGCGTTGTCGGCCTGGTGTCCCGACCCCTGTCTTAAGTATGTAGGTATGTAGGTTAATTGAAGTGTGCCTGTCGAGATGGGAGCTTGTGATTTCAAGGGCTATCAAATACCTGAACGCTGGGTGCTAGTACAGTGCCAGAGCATTCAATAACAGCACTGAACCTTTGTTTGTTGTTTAGGGTGGTTAGTGTTAGGTGCAGTAAACAAATTCACCAACCACACGGCGGACCATACACTATGCACTTATATTACAGTCTGTTTTTGACGATCACATGCTGTTAGGGATAAGTTACTCACGGCAGCAGTGTTCCTATTAGACACATTGGTTCGGGTGTGGGGGTGGAGGGGGGACAGTCCAGATGTTCTAGTGGGCAGTGCCAGTGGCGTAAGAAGGGGGTCAGAGGGGGTAGTCCGCCACGAGGCCCTTTTCTTAAAAACTTTCGTGGAAGGGGCGTTATTATTGTTTCTTTTTTTTTATTGAGGGGCGAGTTTTTAATCGTGTAAGGGAAGGCACTCAGGGGTGGCACTAACCTCAGCTAAGCCACTGGGTAGTGCACCTGTCAGTGCCAAAACTTAGGCACCCTAGCGCCCAGGGTCAGCTATAACTCCGCCCGCTTCGCCCAACATAAGCTATCTTCTCTCCAGTTATGGCCCCGGAAGGTATGTTTTTGGCTTCAGCTAAGTTTCACCCACGGAATCTATATAGTCCAACTGTTTATATACAGAGTTAAAGGAAAATTAAATATCTGTAAGTTAAAAAAAAAACGTATCTTTATTACTAACATCCATTTGTGTTGTGTTCTGTAGTATACCAAGTGTCGACACTGCTCTTTTAATCATGGGAGGTGGGAAGAAATCGAGGGCGCCGATGTTACCCGAGCGGAAACGGAGAGGGGGGTTTGGGCGGGGTTGCCCTCCCCAAGGATTTTTAAAAAACAAAATCTAAATTCTAAAAGTACGTGTGGCGTTTACCCGAAGTCAGTGTTGCGTTCCCGAAAATTTGATCCAGAGAGCGGACATTTGAGGGGGAAGGGAGTGATTGGGGGGGGGGGAAGCATTTATAAGCAAAGAAGTTAAGCGCTACGGCCATGCATAACCTGAAAACATTTCGGTTCGGCCGCGAACGGGGATATTTCCTTTTGGCCCCTCCCTTGGTTTTTCTAAATTCTAAAAGTACGTGTGGCGTTTACCCGAAGTCAGTGTTGCGTTCCCGAAAATTTGATCCAGAGAGCGGACATTTGAGGGGGAAGGGAGTGATTGGGGGGGGGGGGAAGCATTTATCAGCAAAGAAGTTAAGCGCTACGGCCATGCATAACCTGAACACATTTCGGTTCTGGCGCGAATCGGGATATTTCCTTTTGGCCCCTACCTTAGTTTCACCACGTACTGCCATAGTAATCGGTGTGGTTTGTTTGTGTGTGTGGTTGGGGGGGGGGAAGAAGAGGAGAAATCGTGAGCGTGATGTTCTAAGCAAGGGGCTCAGTGAGAAAGGAGGTCAGTGAGAAAAGAGGTCAGTGAGAAAGGAGCCCAGTGAGAAAGGGGCTCAGTGAGAAAGTGGCTCAGTGAGAAAGGAGGTCAGTGAGAAAGGGGCTCAGTGAGAAAGGGGGTCAGTGAGAAAGGAGGTCAGTGAGAAAGGGGCTCAGTGAGAAAGGGGCTCAGTGAGAAAGGGACTCAGTGAGAAAGGGGCTCAGTGAGAAAGGGGCTCAGTGAGCCCGTGCCCAGAAATTTTTTGATAAATTGAAAATCCAGCGATGCATTTTGTAGCATATCTGATTCTAGTTTTTAACCAGGCCTGCAAAACTCAAAATGTAAGGCGGGCCGTAATACTTTATGAAATACTTGTGCGGGCCAAAAGAAAATAGGACAGAAGAGGGACAGCTATTTAGAAAATAATTATAATAAGTAATATTCCGTTACTGCGCGGGCCTTTGTTTTTTTTATACGAATGCGATATTTTAAGTTGTTACTCAATAGAAACGTTAATTTAAAACTTACCCCCCCCCCACCCCCAACTATTTATTACGTTAAACTACTGTATTTTTTTGGTTGCATTTTATCTGTATATAATTATAATAAGTAATATTCCGTTACTGCGCGGGCCTTTGTTTTTTTTATACGAATGCGATATTTTAAGTTGTTACTCAATAGAAACGTTAATTTAAAACTTACCCCCCCCCCCACCCCCAACTATTTATTACGTTAAACTACTGTATTTTTTTGGTTGCATTTTATCTGTACGACACATTGTGAAGATGGTGAGGACATCGCAGGACGATAATCTACAAGGCCTGGGATTATTCTTGAATGAATCCTTGTATTTACCATCTCCTGACTCTGGATGTAGACCAATCTATACTCCCAGATACTGACCGACAAGGTGGACAGAAGCAGTGTCGTGAGCTGAGGGTGGAATGGTGGACAGTCTGTCCCGGGTGGAGCTTTTTCTTTAATGGAGAAGGCGACATTTTCGGCAAACTGAAGAATTTTTTTTTTCTGAAGGGGGTTGCAAAAATCTTGGCCCGCCCCGGGCTGCACTAACCACTACGCCAAAGGGCGCACTAAATGAAACACAACACATAAAGAAGTTATTTAAAAATCTGGTTGCAACGTTTATTTAATTAATTTTTTACAGTCGAAGCTCATCAAACAGACATACAAGACTTTAATAAAAACATCCATCAGCTAACATATCATATATATATATATATATATATATATATGTATATATATATATATATATATATATATATATATATATATATATATATATATATATATATATATATATATATATATATATAGCCTCATATTTTACATTGAATTCACCCAGACACCATTTACTTAGTTTCACAAACTCTTCACTTTTACACTTAAAAATTACTACATGTATTAACAAAATGGCTAACCAATCAAGGCAGCGATTTAAAACGTGATTCATTCCTTTATTATCGTATCTTTAAAAAAACAAAACAACGCAAGGCAAGATTTGCAAATATCTTGAATATTTGAAACCCGGTGTCACCCCAACATTTCATTATACTGTCTGAAGTTTTCTTTAAAAAAAAAATGCAATGTAATAATGAAATCACGAAGCCAGTCAATGATTTTTCTAGATCCCTTGACGAGCTTTGACTCAATGACCATTTAGGACTCGATTTATAGTGTAGCTTTAGATTTAAAAAACGGAAGAGAACCGAAGTTAAAAGAAAATGGCCATCGCTGCTCACAACAGGAAGTGACGAAACATCCCTTAACGCAGTTGTGGAGGCTCGACAGGAAGTGACTTCACGACCTTAAACCAGCCACAAGGTTGAAGGAAAAGGAAAAACCGGACACAACATTTAGACTTCCGGGTCAGAATTATTCTGTGTAGTTAACATTGAAACCATAGATTTTCATAGAATTAGTAAGAAATAAATTAGTGAGATCTTAAGAACGAAACTACACGTCCTCAGTCTGTCCGTGGGGGGGGAGAGGCTAGAGTCTGACAACATATGAACCGCCTAGAAGCAGAACACGAATGTATGGCGTCATAGAAGACTAACATCTCATGTGGTCTAACCATTTTTTGTGTGATCTAAGAGTAAAAGTAAACCTGACATTTGTTGTCAACAGTTTGAGCAACTACAACGCAAGTATTAATAAATAACACCAATGTATACTATGTGTTGTAACTTCATAGTTACGTTTTTAAAAAAAAAATATTTTTCAGTTTGCTGAAAAGTAAGCGTACGAAAAAAAAATCTCTAGTGGATAAGGACACCGTACTTGTAATGCCCATATTATCCCGGGCGTGTATTGAGCAAGCATAAATTTTATATATCCTATTAAATTGTAATCAGACCAGCTGTAACATACGCAAGGGAAACTTGGACCCTATCAGAATAATAGCAGAAAGCCCATTAAAGAAATGACAGAGAACAGTTCTCCGGAAAATACGTGGGCCAACAATGAATGAATATGGATGGAGAATACGAACCAACCAGGATGTGTATAGTCTATCTATATCAGGAACCAACGCTTGTAGCAGAAATAAGAGAAGGTGAAGAGGGTGAACCACCAAAACCCGAGAGGAAAACGGCTCAAAGGCAGACCCAGGCTTAGATGGATGGATGGAGGATGTGGAAAAAGATCTACAGCATCTGGGAAGCCAAGCATGGGAAAAGAAAAGCATCAGCTAGGTCTGAGTGGAAGGAAGTGGTGAAGTATCAAAAGCCCTACATGGGCCGTAGCGCACCAGGGAATGGGATGGATTAAGACATCTGCTGCTATGTGTATTCAACAGTTTTGCTTTACGACTGCACCCGTTTTCTAAAAAGACAGTTATTTATAAAGCGCAAACTGTGTCAAGGTTTTAGTTTGAACTTTATGACCGAAGCTGTGTCTAAGATTTATCATTTATTTTTTTTACTTTGTTTGTTGCTTTATTATGGGGTTTGGGTGGGGGGGGGGTTGAGAGTAGGATGAGCTTATAAAAACCAGCTGATTTATTTTCCCATCGCAAGTGGGGGTCATTCTAAGAGTGTCATTAATCATTCGTTCATTCCGAACTGTCTTTTGATAGGTTTTAGTTTGAACTTTATGACCGAAGCTGTGTCTAAGATTTATCATTTATTTTTTTTACTTTGTTTGTTGCTTTACTATGGGGTTTGGGTGGGGGGGGGGTTGAGAGTAGGATGAGCTTATAAAAACCAGCTGATTTATTTTCCCATCGCAAGTGTGGGTCATTCTAAGAGTGTCATTAATCATTCGTTCATTCCGAACTGTCTTTTGAGAAATATAGCTGAAAAAAAAAAGATCCCCCCACATTGAAGAGAATCATTAAACAGCAGTGAAGTTAACTTTAGCGTAGGTTAAAATTGATAGATCTCTACATCTTTGGATTCACTGCGGTGACTGCGATCAGCGTCAGAGTCGGATCCAGTGGTGGGGTCGGCGTGCGAGTCGTGGTCGTGATTCTGCGCGCGGCTCTCGGCGTCGGGCACCACGGTGGTTTCCTCACTTTTGTCTTTGGCCCTCTGCTGTAACCGCCTCTTCTCCAGAATGAGGATGATCAGAACAGGGATGTTGGTGAAGATGGACAGGACGTTGACTCCGACGTCCAGGCCTGACATCAGGTATCTGAATGAGGCGTTTAGTAGGAAAAATAAATCAAGATAAACAGGACCACATTCAAATTTTCCTGGCCGTTTGCTAAGAGAGCGTAACTGCACTTTGCTTTGCCCTTTCCTTGTCTATCTCTCATTTGTCTCTTTCTCTCACTTCTCCCACTTCTCTCTCCCACCTCTCTCTCTCCCCTCCCCCCTCTAACTCTCTCTCTCTCTTCTAACTCTCTCTCACCTCTAACTGTCCCTCCCGTCTAATTCACCGCTACCCCCCTCTCTCTCTCTCTCTCTTCCTCTCCCCCCTCCCCTATTTCTCTCTTTCTCTCTCCCCCTCCTCCATCTCTCTCTGCCCCCTCTCTCTCTCATTTATAAATATCTAGCCCCATTATAACACGAATTCCTTGTAGAAAAAAAAAGGTCAGCATCCGGAGCGCCCCTACTTACGTAAACACACACAAACACACACACGCACGCACAAAGCCAACAGATTTTCCATTATAAATAATTGCTAGTGGAAAGGTCAGTCCCGAGCTCGCAGTGGCCGGACGCCATTACCAGACAAACGGTAGCTTCCTGCCTGACCTTTCGCACGGACACATTGACCCCATCGTTCTTTTCGTCATCAATCACGTACTTTTTGTGATGTTTGAGAACCATTCCATTTCTACAGATGAATTTAATCCTCCGGGAGTCACCACTGACAATAAATGGATAAGCGTCACCCAAGTATAACTCAGTCATGGAATTTTGAGTCCGAGAATTTAGTAGATTGCTTTAAGCGTCATCAGCTGAACATTAATTGATCTGTTACAACGTCATCATCTGACCATTAATTGACCGGTTACAACTCAGAATTGCTGAGCCAACTTTATCACTTTATATATATATTTGAACAATTTATCATCATTATCATCATGTCCCCTAGTTTTTGGACCGTTGGGGCAAAACTTTTCTACTCCATTCCTCTCTGTTTTCTGCACTTCGCACAGCATCTCCTAGCTGTAGTCCCGTCCACTCTTTGATGTTATCTTCCCATCTTTTTCTACGTCTTCCTTTTCTTCTCCCTCCTCTCGTTGTGCCCAGCATGATTCTTTGGCGAGCCTTGTTTTCTTGTCACGTGGCCATACCATTCCAGTTTGCGCTTTTTACTGTCACCAGGGGGTCATCGTACTGCCCAAATTATTGCTTGACGAATCCTTTCTTTCACTTGTTCATTGGAGTTATGGTCTCTATAGCAGATGCTAAAATGCTTCTGAAGCATCTCATCTCAATCGCTTTTATTTTTCTTTCAAATTCTGTTGTTAATGTTCAGGACTCTCAGGCATACAAGAAAATGGTGAGGACTAATGAGCGCATCAGCCTGATTTTGGTGGTGGGCGCTATATTTTTGTCGTTCCACATTTTCTCAAGCCTCTTTAGTGCTGTTGTGGTCTGGGCAACCCTGGACATCAATTTGGGCTTGGAGCATTCTTCCAAGACTATTGCTCCTAGGTACTTGAAGCTGCCTACAGTCTCTAATCTTTTCTCCCCGACCTTAATTTCAGTGGCGATGCCGGTGGTGTTATTCGTCATCAGTTTTGTCTTTTCTGCACTGATTTTCATGCCAAATGACGACGTAGTCTTGTCGAGACGCTTAACTAGGTTGGCTATAAGCTCTTCTTCGCTTCCAGCCACTCAGTCTATGCCATCCGCAAAGCGTAGGTTGGTGATTGCTCTTCCACCAATGCTGACAAGTACAAAACTCAATTTGAATATCTCATCGAGTTCAATCATTTGTTTAAAAAAAAATAATAGCAATATCTCGGAGGCACCCTTGTTAAGTTTTGAGAGCCTTTGAACATTTCCATCTTGGCATTTGATTGGCAGCAGAGCGCGCTGTCCTAGCCATAACATTACCGCCATTGCAGATATACAACAACATTAAGGCACCTGTTTGTATTCATTCACAAATGTGCAGGTATTTTCTTTATATATTTTTGAAGATTTAAAATGAATTTGTAACACATGCTAAAATCCGTCACTGTGTTGACAAATCATGTTGTATACAGCAGTCGAATGTTCAGCTTTTCAAGCATCACAAGCCCCCCCCCCACTTTCCTCTTCTTTCCACCCTCGAGACATTAATGTAACAACCGCTGCTTTATAACTTCATAAATGTAAAACCTTACACAATTTATAAAAGCAAAACACCTTTTCCCCTTCTGTTGGTTTAAGATGGGTCATGTTGAGCTTGTACGATCGAGATAAGCTTAAATGCTGCACGAAGCACTGGTGCGTGATGCTCACCTGATGATGTCTCGGTCGTAGAGGGTACACAGATTGCCATCCCAGATGAGGCAGGCGTTGTCAATCAATTTGCCGAACACGTTAGGAGAGGGGATGCTCACTACAACAGTACAAAAAAGCAAGAGACGATGACAGGGAAACGTGAAGAAAGGACGTTGTCGATAAAAGACGAGGTTCGATTTTGAGATTTTAAAAGAAAAATTACATTTTCAACGCAAGCTTAGAAGCTGTTTAATATAGACGTGGTGTCAAATAAGCTGTTTAATATAGATTTGATGTTAATATAAGCTGTTTAGTATAGATATGACGTTAATATAAGCTGTTTAAATAGATATGATGTTAAATAAGCTGTTTAAAAGAATATGATGTTATATAAGCTGTTAAATATAGATATTTTGTTAATATAAGCTGATACATATGATATTAAATGAAAATATTAAAAATGAAATTCAATTTTTTTTTTTTGCAGCAACTATCGAATGAAAGCAAACGGCTATGAAGTTTTTGTAAGAAAATATTTGAATATTTAGAAACGTACTTATGTTGTAGAAGAAAATGTAGAAGCTGGTGGCGAAGCCACGATCTCTTGGGTCAACGATCCTGTGGTCAGACGAAGAAAATTGTTAAGTTAATATTTTTACACTTCAAGGTTTTAAGCGACCTGCATGATGATATATTAAGTGAAACCAAACAGGAACTTGTCAGGGCGACCTGCCACTATTATAACCCCCCCCCCCCACACACACACTTTTCCGGTTGCGTTGTAATAGACACAAGTGGTAGAGCATTTATTGCTTTTCTGATGCATTGCTCTGAGAAGGTCTTAAAGGACCCATGATCCGCTTCCGTTAAATATTGCATTCAGTTGATTAATTTTCCCACAGCGTTGCGGAATTTAACGTCGTGACCAGACCACAGTATTCTCCATTAAACCCGTTATTTCCAGCCAGAAAAAAAAAGAAAAAAACCAAGATCAGCTAAATTATATTTATAGCTTTTTAAACGATGCAACCAAACAAGGCTGAAACTCCCTCTCTTCCAGTGTGATCTTGTAGGTCGCGTGAGCCACCCGTTAACCCTAAGATTAATCTCACAGCAAAACTCATCGTGGGTACCTCAGCAGAAGCAGCCATCTTGGTATCATCGTGCCTCCTTCCACCAGGTACTGGACACCGTGAAGGACGGCGTACAACAGGAAGTTGTCGTGACACTCCGATGAGCAGACGCCTGGCGTCACGCGACCGCCCGCCGAGGTGTTCATCAGGTGGGCGCAGTCCGTGAAGAGCTGAAATAAGATTTGGAAAGCTTTACAGGGAACGTCGTGAGCGAACACTATAGTGGCTTCACAACTTGAAGTTTCATAACCGTCTCTTTCAAATAGTGACTCGCGACTGGACATGTGTACGAAACGATATTGTTCGAAACAAATTAAAAAAAAAAACAAAATAATGTTCCAATTTTAGTGAAACCCAATATTACAAAATAATGTTGTTTTACTACAAGTGATACTCAATTTTATTTTATTATTATTTTTTTTAGAAATGACTGTTGTTTTACTGACGAAACCAATTTGAACAAACGAAAGACATTTGAATGGAACGAACGGAAGTGTGGTGAAACGTAATGGGAACATACAAACAACGAAATTTTTTTTTTTACAAAGTTTTAATGTCCCCATTTCTCATTCGCAAAAATTAAAAATGAGCTTTGAAAAATTTTCGTCGTGAGCAAACTTCCGTTCTAACAACAATCCTTCGCGCAGGCTAAGTACTCATTTCCGGAAACTATATTCTTTACATTGCTTTAGGTTTATCTTCTAAATAACGCGATATCATCAAAAAACCAAAGGAGGTTGTTATACACGTGGAGAAAATGTTTAATGCCGTCCACTCCCGTACAAACCAACCCACCTTGCCGTCCACTTCCGTTCCAACCAACCCACCCTGCGGTCCGCTCCCGTACCAACCAACCCACCTTGCGGTCCACTCCCGTACCAACCAACCCACCTTGCCGTCCACTCACGTACAAACCAACCAACCTTGCCGTCCACTCCCGTGCACCCAGCGTAACAAGGAGACTGGTAGATGTTGCCGTCGTCACCGCAGACCAGCAGCTGTTTGCTCAACGTACAATCACATCCATCGCTGATGTTCATGGGGATACCGCTACAGAAAGATGCACGAAAATAGGTCAACGTCAGTATGATTATTGATGCTTTAAGTGGTGTCGCACTGAAATACACTGAAATTTCGACACAACATGTTCAATGATGAGAACCGTACTTTCTCCGGGAAACAAGTTGTTTTTACTTGCAAATATTGAAAGAGATTTTCCTATTGTTCGTGTATCAAAAACAAACGTTGGGTTCACATTCATAGATGATTTTCGGAAGGGCCGAGCCGGGTATTGACCCGGATGCCCGGAAATGCCGAGTATTAGCACGCCCGACACAATCCCGGAGCCGGGAAAAAACGAAACAGGGTCCGGATGTAAAAAAAAGCGTTGTCTTCCCATTTTCTACGCGTTCCATTTAATGGCGAGAAATGAAAAGTGTATGTGTAGAGCCTTAAGTTTTTAAAACATAATTTTGTGTTGAAGTTGATCATTTTATGCCTAGTGTACACTGAAGCTGATTATTTGTACATGTGGTCAAATGTCGTGATTTGATTATGCCAGGGTGAACCGACCACTTAACTGACCACATACATTTCACCCGTTGCCCCGTACACCGGCTTGTTATCGCACCCAAAGATGAGGAAGAGTGGGTTGAAGCCCACCTGCAGCAGGTAAGAGCCCATGATGATGTACTGAAGCCCCAACTTGCTGTTGACTTTAGTGGTGAGCCAGGAGCTGAGAAGTGTGCCGCTCAGGGAGCCAACGGCTGATGTGATACCTGATGAAAATAAAATAAAACTGTATATTTTTTTGGTTCTAAATATTTATTATGGTAAGTGTAGAAATTAACGTCTTTTTTCGCCAGTGGTACGAAGATGAAGAGAACTACAAAATAAACGAAGATAACTACAAAATAAACGAAGATGAAGAGAACTACAAAATAAACGAAGATGAAGAGAACTACAAAATAAACGAAGATGAGCAGTACTACAAAATAAACGAAGATGAGCAGTACTACAAAATAAACGAAGATGAGCAGTACTACAAAATAAACGAAGATGAGCAGTACTAAAAAATAAACGAAGATGCGCAGTACTACAAAATAAACGAAGATGAGCAGTACTACAAAATAAACGAAGATGAGCAGTACTACAAAATAAACGAAGATGAGCAGTACTACAAAATATACGAAGATAATTTAAATATAAAATTTCATACAAATGGGATAAATTTATAAAAATATGAAAGCATGTTCAATCATGATACATAACTGTACATATACATACGGGGAACGGTGAAAGGATTATTCTCTACAAGCTAATTCCACACACCCAAATTCCACACACGAACATTCCCCAAACCAGTATCGCGCAAACAGAAGACACCAACCTCGGAATATTCCTCACGCAGAAAATTCCCTCTCTTGTAAAGTACCCCACATGGAAAATACCCCACATGGAAAATACCCCACATGGAAAATACCCAGCATGAAAAATACCCCAGATGAAAAATACCCGACATGGAAAATACCCAGCATGGAAAATTCTCCACATGGAAAATACCCCACATAGATAATTCTGTACTGAAACGACGAATCTACGTTTCTGTCCTTATTAAATGCTTATCGGATGATCCTTCAAAAATCTGTGGACGTTGTAAAGTCCACCCCTCACCCCTTGCCGGTGAGTCCTTCGTAATGTCACTGGGTTAACCCTATGCTTAAGTTAAATAAAAAAAAAACCCAACCAAAGCACTTACTGGAAGCCAGCGCCACCTCAGACATGGGGACGTTGTACTCCATGGTCATGTAAACATTGCGAAACATGAACAATCCAGAAAGGGGCACCGAGACGGCACTGATGTCTATGATGCCCAGGACGAACAGGGGATTCTTCAGTAGACGTAGCATAGACTTGGGCAGGTCTGGATGGACGGAAGAGACACAGACATTAAGTGACATGATATGAAGATTTTAGTAGCTGGGACCCTTCATGAGAAAACTGATGGGGCATTTTCTGATTAGATTCGGAGATGAGCTATCTGCGGGGAGTATAGGATCGAGAGGGGCAAATTGCAGGTTAATATTGGAATCGATGTATAGGAATATGGGAAATGCTACCTGTAAAAGTATACAGGATTTAGATATGAAATATATATCTACAAATGTGATTTTGAATGGCAATATGCGAGGGACAATGGAGCTACAGAGACAATTTGTAGAGGAATAGGCGAGATGTGTCAAAACTTTGCAAATACCTCTAATGAGATCCATCACTGAAATGTCCTTTTCTTCATTGCCATCATCATCTTTTCTTTTTACTTTAGGTTGGTCGAAAACTAAATCGCCAGTCAGACTGACCTTTCTTTCCGTTGGTCCCTCCAGTGGGGGAAATAAACTTAACCTGCGTACAGCAAAAATCAATAGAGTGACAACTTTCAAGGAATGCTGCATCAGCCGCCGCACGTTGCCAGAACCTACTCATAACGGAGGTCCTCTATGCTTGGCCTACTCATAACGGAGGTCCTCTATCAATGGCCTACTCATAACTGAGGTCCTCTATTAATGGCCTACTCATAACGTAGGTCCACTATCGCTCGCCTGTTCATAACGATGTTTGGAACAATAAACATTTTCGACCTGTCCACGAAAGTTGCCGGACATAAACAAACTCAATATCATATCACATCAAACAACCCTAAACAAATCTGTATAACATAAATTTCCTTTGACAGGGCTCAAGATAATTACTGAATGACACCCTGCACTTCAGCCCTTCCATGCAACCGCCCATACTTTCCACACAAGTGACGTACTTCCGGCCCAAGTGTGAGCTCACTGAAACACTGCTTCCTTTCCGCTCCGATTTCAAGTCATGGGACTTCAAGTTCTCCACAGCACCGGATACTGCGAGGCTGTGGGCTGTGTCGCCATCTTCGCTTACCGTGATGATCGGCACCTGTGACGCCTTCTTGTCTGCATTGATCGATCCACTAAAATAATAAATAAAAAGATCACGTGACTTATTGATTAAGGAAGGTCAAGATCTGCGCAATGCCAGTACCATCAACATCCTAAACCAAACACTCGTATAAGAAAACTCTCTCAGTCGTATACTTTAAAAAATTTTTTCCCCATATATTTAGAATTACACATTCTCCGAGCTGTTGACTCCTTTAACGGCATCTTCCACTTGACCCCCAGCGTACGTCACAGCGGCCAGCTTTAGGGCAGCCTCCCTCTGTTTCTTGGTGACCAGTGTCCTCGGGAAGAGAATCAGTGGGAATGATGTCGCGACAAGCCCCGCCCCAAAGACAAGGAATGCCAGCCACCAGGCGGCCACGAACCGTCCATCCTTGGGGTCCATCTCCGTAGCTGGGGGTAAAAACACATCACGACATGAAAGTCAATATGGAAAATTTTTAAGTGTCTAATTCGTTTTGACAAGGCGGCTAGCATATTGCTTTAATTTTAAGGCTGTTCTGATAAACATGTTAACCTGCGTGACATTTGTTGGAAATAAACCACGTAGTTTGTCACATGTCATAAACATCACGTGTGCATATGCAGAAAATGAATGCCATTTATACTTACACGTTGCTGCAGTACATGCAGGGCCGGGGCAACCCAAAAAATACCCCCCAGGAGGGGGGAGGGGGGGCAAAAGCCTAAACTTAGGCACACTTATCTCCCGAAAAGGACATGCACATAATTTGAATTAAAAATGACGATTTTGGAGCCCCCTTTGAAGATGGCACGCAGAGGAGGTTGCCTTCTTCGCCCCCACCTTAGCACGGCCCTGGTTCCATATCATTAATGTCACAGCTAAACGCCATGGGAGTCGCGTCCCAAGTGTCATGTGCAGAATATCAGCTTATGCATCAAATGTCAGAGTGTTTCTGGACGTTACTAGCACTATTACCCTCACCTTTCAAATCTATCGGTACTTCAGTCAGTATTCCATTGATCTCCGTCCCGATGGGCCCAGAAAATCCATTTATGAAGTATCGAATACCTGTGAAATAGTCAAATCTATGGGGTAATGAACAGCTGTGACGTAAGAAAGATCTATTTCTGTACAAATGAACTCCAACGTCTGATGATATTTTAAGTAATCAATTTTATATCATCGTGGATAGAGTAAGAGAATAGAGAATCAAATAGATACAAGTGTGAGAGAGTGTGCGTGAGTGAGAGAGAGAGAGAGAGAGAGAGAAAGAGAGAGGGAGAAAAAGAGGGAGAGGGAAAAAGACGGAGAGGGAAAAAGAGGGTATAAATAGATATAAATAAGGCGAGACAGAGTGCTAGAGAGGAAGAGGGAAGATGATAGTGGGAGAGGGAGAGCGAAAGAAGGTGGAGCCACGAAGGACGAACGACCGTATGGCCTTGGTCTTCATGACGCATACATATGTCCACTGACCTAAATACAGCGACATCTTTGACTTGTCCAACATATTGTCGTCCACGTAAACCGTGGGCAGGAAGTGGGTGTGGAAGGACTCGGTGACCCCCTTCATGGTTTGAGCCACCAGGACGACAATGAAAGCAACTTGGCTGATCTGTGGGATTATTGGATGGGAACCTTTAGCCGTGGGGTCTCAAAACATGGGTCTCGGTGCTGGAAAAAGGGGCACTTCCAATTGCATGATTACAATGTGCCCAATTTAAAAACTGTCATAAAATTAAAAAATAATAATTAAACAAAAATATCAAAAACATGAACTTTCGTCCTTATTCTCTCTTTTCGTTATTTTTAGTTCGATTTTGTTGACCTCATTTGTATTTTGACGCGCAATTCCGTTAAGCTACGTGTTTGGTTTTGTTCTGTTCGCTAAAGGAGGCTTTTAGATAACGCTTTGATTGTGTTGTCTTCCTATATGTTTCAAGCGTTCCCATAGGATGTTTTGGAGATTTCCCTCATGTCGTCCTAGATTAAATCTATCTGTCATATCGGATGGTCAGAGTGCGCTAAACTGCAGTGTTTACTAGGCTGACATGTTTACAAGATGGACAAGTGTATACTTATCGGACAAGTGTGTTAATATCTACCAGTCTGACATGTGCACCTGTCTGACATGTATAACCAGGGTGACAAATGGACTAATCTGACGTGTGTACCTCTTCAGTCGCGTTGACCAGGGGCAGGGCGGGGCTGGTGCCGTTTTTGTCATCGGGGGCGTTGTGCCAGCCACACATGTATTTGGCGCTCTCGCCAACCGAAGTTCTGTTGGTGGTGTTGTCATGGGTGGTCCTGAACGGAAACAAGACTGGATTAGTTGGATAACTTATGGATTAGCACCTTAACAGAGCTCCTTAATCAATATGGTGTGGGTTGTTTGGTGTTTTGATGTGTATAGTTTAATAGCTATTTTCCCTTCGTTAAAAAGCAATGAGTAAAAAAAAAAAACTCGCCTGATAACAAAGTAACAAAGGTTACATTAAAAGTTGTCTATTTGATTATATATATTCTGTGTTATCAATGGGACTATAAACTGAAAAATACGCATCAACCCCTGGGACATAATCTGATCTTGAATAGGTCTCAGCATCCTGCGACATAATCTGATCTTGAATAGGTCTCAACATCCTGGGACATAATCTGATCTTGAATAGGTCTCAACATCCTGGGACATTATCTGATGCTGAATAGGTCTCAACATCCTGGTACATTTATCTGATCTTGAAAAGGTCTCAATATCCTGGGACATTATCTAATCTTGAATAGGTCTCAACATCCTGGGACATTATCTAATGCTGAATAGGTCTCACCATCCTGGGACATTATCTAATGCTGAATAGGTCTCACCATCCTGGGACATTTATCTGATCTTGAAAAAAGGTCTCAACATCCTGGGACATTTATTTGATCTTGAAAAGTCTCAACATCCTGGGACATTTATCTGATCTTGAAACATGGCAAACACAGTTACCATTAAGTCAAAATGCAATATTGGAACGCGACGTAATAGATATCTTCGCAATTACTATCCCGTATTAATACTAGGGAGCGAGAACAGGTGTGGAATTCACCGCTTTGAAATGTACACATTGAGAAGACAACTTTTTATACTGTTTTTTGGCTACATGTTGCATATATCAGTTGATTACATTCATGGGCGCCCGCAGGTAGGGGCAAGGGGGGCACTTGCCCCCCCCCCTGGATTGATTGGATACATTTTTTTAAGACGAAAATAGACAAAAAATTCATTAAAGTAAAGAGAAAATAAAGAGAAAGTAACTAAGCTGATGTCTTGTCCGTTCGTTCACCATACAAATACGCTACAGTATATTAAAACTATATTAAAACATTACTAAAATCCCACCACCCCTGTCAACAATACTTAAACTTTATAAATTACTANTGGAAAGTTTAATTGTTTGTTTGCCCCCCCCCCCCCCCCGAAAAAAAAAGGTTTTCTGCGGGCGCCCATGGTTACATTTACTGTTCATTGGAGTTGTGAATAATCTGGTGTGATAATATTTTGGGCTTCATTTGGATTTATGCTTTGGTTACATGAAAAAGTTGATATATTTCATAATATTTTTGAAATACTATATCAGTTGCATGTAAGGATCTCTGTAGTGATCAGTGAATCGCTCGTAATGATCTTTGTAGTGATCAAGTAATTGCTTTTAATGATCTAATTGGTAATCAATGAATTGCTTCTAATGATCTTTGTCGGGATCAATAAATTGCTTTGTTGTCAAATTATTCTGTTTCCTCTAGTCAAGAATCTTTTGAGTATTTCTGGCAACGTTGTCTAGGGTACTCTGTAATACTGTCACACTGTGCACTAACACTGTAGCACTGTAACCCTATACACCAACACTGTAGCACTGTAACCCTATACACCAACACTGTAACACTGTAACCCTATACACCAACACTGTAGCACTGTAACCCTATACACCAACACTGTAGCATTGTAACCCTATACACCAACACTGTAAGAATGTCACCCTGTGCACCAACACTGCACCACTGTCCCCCTATGCACTAAGAACCGGGGCACAACGAATACTAGCGCACCAACACTTCTCGAAATAGTATGCTTCATCTTTATGCCATGCATCTGTCACACATCTTCACCTGATTGTAAATCCTCCCAACCAACACAGCCTACTCCAAACACATCTGAGCAATCGCACACTGACGTCTCATGACTGTCTTCGTAATCAACTGTCGAAAACTCTCTCTATCTCACGCCTTATATTAACACAGTTATGCACACACTTGTTTGGTATGCTTGTTCTGTCATCGAATGACCACCTAAGCCACAATAATACAACGCATGACACAACTCAACGACCAAAAAGCCTTTTATGCTAGCAACAGTGGTTCTCGTAGCCTTGACACCTGTAATGGCCTTTGTAGTGATCAATAAATTGTTCGTAAAGTTCTTTGTAGTGATCAATAAATTGATTGCAATAATCTTTGTAAATTGTATTATAACGATAATAGTTTTGACCTGGTAACTTATGGGATGTTGTTTCTACAAAGTGCGAAAGTCTAACTACTGGTGTGAAGTGATGCCATGTAACATAGACATAACTAGAATTTGGAATACAACAAAACTAGAATTGGGCATACAAGAAAACTAGAATTGGGCGTACAACACAACTAACGTTGCGCATACAACAAAACTGGAATAGCGCGTACAACAAAACTAGAATTGCGCGTACAACAAAACTAGAATTGCGCGTAAAGCAAAACTAGAATTGCGCGTACAACAAAACTAGAATTGCGCATAAAACACAAATAGAATTGCGCGTACAACAAATATAGAATTGCGCATAAAACACAAATAGAATTGCGCGTACAACAAAACTAGAATTGCGCGTACAACAAAACTAGAATTACGCGTACAACAAAACTAGAATTGCGCGTACAACAAAACTAGAATTGCGCATAAAACACAAATAGAATTGCGCATACAACAAAACTAGACTTGGGCGTACGGTTTCGTTCGTATGTCACCTAGGACGAGGAGCTACTAGTCAAAGGAAGAGACCCTGAGCAGCTTTTTGAGTAACTTACAACACAGGTAGCGTGTAAGGGTGGGCGAATTGTAGAAAAGCCGGTGCCATCAGTAGCGCTCCCTGGACCATGCCAGCTATCCCTATGATGACAGGAATGTTGACCTTCTGTGAACAAAGAGCGTTTCACACGTTGTATGAGATGCATGTAATGGTATAGTCAACTAAGGTAGTTTGTGGAATATTGGTCGTGCCATCCCTGTGGTAATGACATTAGTTTAGAAGTCTCTCATCAAAATATTGTTACTGTCATCGCTGTCTTAATGACATTAGTATAAAAGTATATCATCAAAATATTGTTCAAGTCATCGCTGTCTTATTGACGTTCATGTTAAAGTCTCTCATGAACATATTTAGCATGTTCGTACTGAGCAAAAGTAGTTCATTAAAAACATTTTTCATAACTTACCCGCGTGAAATGACCAGCGAACAGGATGGTGGACAGAAGCCCAATTTTACCAGTCGTCTCGAAGAGTCCAGCTTTGGCGTTGTCGATTTTAAATTGTTTCTCTAGAGATTCGAGCTGGAATAAATACACAGTGCACATGAAATACAAATACAATCAAATGAGATCATTCCTCCTCTTAAAATCTTCATTTTTATTAAAAAAAAAAAATAAAGTCTACGGATATTTGCAAACACATGTGAAGAGAACACGCGCGCACCACCGACTTTCCGCTCACGTGTTTGCTACTTCATGAAGGTACCACCATAGTTACAACATAATGGCTGGCTGGTGATTGTAATGATGTTTGGTGGAATACAAGTGCAAGATTATCTAGCAGGTCAATAAGTAAGAACGGATGGACAACAAAAGTGTCTAGGTTCCCAACATCATTGTGTTTAAAGAATATAAAAAAAAAAAAAGAAAAGTGAAAATAGAGTTGTTTCCTGGCCACTAACCACGACTGTCTGATTGTCTGTCTGTCGTACGGAATCTTAACGCATTTTAGCATTGCTGTGCACTTAAAATATTCTACAATTGTAAAAAACTTACTAGATGAAAATGATTGTCTTTAAAAAAAAAATGGATTGCTTCGTTTCTTTTTTTTTTAAATTTCTTCCGAGATTAAAAAAACAACAACAGGACATGATTGACAGGTGTGATTGTTCCCAACAATTTGTCTCACCTGTACCGACACTATCCGACTCGCCATGAACGAGAACATGCTGGACAGCCCGGTGAAGACAGAAAACATGTACAGGTTGGAGAAGCACGTGCCCAGATATTGGGTCCTTAGCTTCCAGATGCCACAGGACAAATCCACATCTTCATCATCTTCTTCATCATCGGCGTGCTCTAGGTGGGGTGAACTGTCGTCAACGGGGCCATCCCCATGCCGGTCCTGAATATGAACGGCTGTTATGTTAAACTGAAGAAACATCAATATTGATGGCTAGGTTAACTAAAGGAACATCAATATTGACTATCAGGTTAAACTGAAAGTTCCTTAATTTTTACGGGTGGTGTATTATGTTGAATTTGAATGCTGTATTAAATAAAAAAATATTTGGATGTTACATGTTGATTGATATACAGGTTTAAACCAGTGTTTATCAAACATTTGATTGGAATGGTAAACTTTTGGGCATTTACCTCGACAGCGGATCCCCATGCAGTGACACAAAGGTTTGTTCTATTCGGTATGGCACTCCATAGAGTGACACAAGGTTTGTTCTATTCCATATATCGTCTTATGCAGTGACACAAGGGTTTGTTCTAATCCCTATGGCACTCCATGGAGTGACACAAGGGTTTGTTCTATTCCCTATGGCACACCATGGAGTGACACAAGGGTTTGTTCTATTCCCTATGGCACTCCATGGAGTGACACAAGGGTTTGTTCTATTCCAAATAAATAGCTACATCATTTTTCTATAATGGGATATGCACGAGAAGACACCCACCGACTGCTACAGGTGTATGTGTGTAACATTGTAATTGTAGCCACCAAATAAAAGAAAACAACTCGTGTGGCCAGAACAGCCGATGTTACTGGTTGCTAAGTTCCTCCATTGTTGCCCCAATAGTATCAGTTTGCAGCAGCAAACATTTCAGAGGGAAACTTGTGCTTTGTGATTGCCACAAAAGCAGTTGAATTCTTGCCAAATAATAGTTAAAAAACACCCGATGTTTATCTTCTACAGACGAAATAAGTCTTTGTTTCTTATGGTTGATGTTGGTCATAGCAGAAAATCCAAACTCGCCCATGTAAGAAGTTGAAATGCGTTTATTCTGTCAGGTACTTCCTTGCATTCCACTATTCAAAAGGAATGTCCAGCTCATGAAATACGTCGGCTCGTCGATCAGCTAATTTCGAACATCAACTGCTCAGTACTTCTTCAAAATCCTACAATTTCTCACAGAGCTGCAAAGCAGCATCGCCTCTCTCAGCAATCGCACATCCTTGTGTTGGATGAATGTGACGTGGTCTACTTCAGCAACCGTACGTCAGTGTGTTAGATGAGTGGGACATGGTCCACTTCAGAAACCGTACGTCAGTGTGTTAGATGAGTGGGACATGGTCCACTTCAGCAACCGTACGTCAGTGTGTTAGATGAGTGGGACATGTTCCACTTCAGCAACCGTACGTCAGTGTGTTAGATGAGTGGGACATGGTCCACTTCAGCAACCGTACGTCAGTGTGTTAGATGAGTGTGACGTGGTCCACTTCAGCAACCGTACGTCAGTGTGTTAGATGAGTGGGACGTGGTCCACTTCAGCAACCGTACGTCAGTGTATTAGATGAGTGGGACGCGGTCCACTTCAGCAACCGTGCGTCAGTGTGTTAGATGAGTGGGACGTGGTCCACTTCAGCAACCGTACGTCAGTGTGTTAGATGAGTGGGACATGGTCCACTTCAGCAACCGTACGTCAGTGTGTTAGATGAGTGGGACATGGTCCACTTCAGGAACTGTACGTCAGTGTGTTAGATGTGTGGGACATGGTCCACTTCAGCAATAGAGCATCCTTGTGTTGGATGAGTGCGACGCGGTCCGCTTCCACGCTTTCACAGAGCTGGACCTGGCGATATTTAAGAGCTCTCATCTTCATACAATTAACGATTTTACCCCCACCATGTCCAGTACAGCTGTTAACTCGTCTCCAACTGTAATAGCAACTAGAGCTTCTCTGTGGATGAAGCAGTTCATGAACATGATATCTCGATTCATCTGTCGCCCCAGCGAGACAAAACGTTTGATATGTCCCGTCATGGCATGTGCGCTATCCGTTCAAAAGCCAACGCAATTTCTCTAGTTCAAGTCACATGATTGCAAATATGAATTAACAACTTCGAATATGATTTTGGTGTTTCTGATAACTCCTTAATGAAAAAATAACATCGTGAACACTATTTCTCCAATGTCAATAAAGCGTAAAAACCCCCACAAGCTGTGATTTACTGTTGACATCGAACATTTCCTCCACTTGCAGTGTAAAAAAATTCACGTACCTTTATCCAAAACGTGACTCTCAGTGTCGCTGGATATGTCTGAAATAAATACGTCTGATTATCGAATTTTCTGACAATGGAATCTTATTGATGTCAGATACAGCACTCTCGCCAAACATAATTCTCACACTTTCACGGCAAGCCGGGAAGATTATAGTATCGGTGTGGTTTTGCGATTTCCTTTTCTTGTCAACGATCTCTACAACAGGATAACTTGCTTCTTGAACTCTGGCAATTATCCTGAATTTTTTTCTCCAATAAAGCGATTTGTTTTTTAATTCGAGATTTTCGCTCTCTCGAAGTATGCAACATTCCTGTGCCTTCTCGAAGTGCGCCACATTCCTGTGCTCTTTAGAAGTACGCCACATTCCTGTGCTCTCTATAAGTACCCCATATTACTGTGCTTTCTTGAAGTACGCCACATTCCTGTGCTTTCTCGAAATATGCCACGTTCCTCTGCTTTCTTGAAGTACGCCACATTCTTGTGCTCTCTAGAAGTATGCCCCATTCTTGTGCTCTCTAGAAGTACCCCACATTCCTGTGCTCTCTAGAAGTACGCCACATTCCTGTGCTTTCTAGAAGTACGCCACATTCTTGTGTTCTCTAGAAGTACGCCACATTCTTGTGCTATCTCGAAGTACACCGCATTCTTTTGCTCTCTAGAAGTACGCCACATTCATGTGCTCTGTCAAATACGCCACATTCCTGTGCCCTCTCGAAGTATGCCACATTCCTGTGTTCTCTCGAATACGCCACATTCCTGTGCTATCTCGAAGTACGCCACATTCCTGTAATCTCTCGAAGTACGCAACATCATTTAGCTCTATATCGAGATATTAAATTTGTAACACGTCGCTCCAGTTTAGCTGTTACCATGACAATTTGGCGAGCTCTTCTCCGTAGATAACACACAGAGCTGTAAAAGGCAAGCGAATCCTACAGCTAAGTAATTGTCACTGTACTGAGGAACTTTAAGATTGCCATCGACAACTTCAAGTTTTGGCACTATCTGCTCACATGACACGGTACTAACTGTAACTTCATTCGACTGAAATGACACTGTTCTAGCTTAAGCCTCAGTCGACTGACATGACACTGCACTAGCTTTAGCTTCAGTCGAATGACATGACACTGTACTATCTTTAGCGTCAGTCGACTGACATGACACTGTCCTAGCTTTAGCTTCAGTCGCCTGACATGACGGGGATAGGAATTATGCTCTACAGCAGGCCTGCACAACATACGGTCCGCGGACCACATGCGGCCCGCCATGACCAACTTTGTGGCCCGCGAAGTAACGAAATATTCTTTATTCTTATTATGTTCTTAATAGCTCTCCCCCCTGACCTATTTTCTTTCGGCCCACACAAGTCCAGTCTTACTTTCTTTTTGGCCCGCACAAGTTTTTCCTAAAGTATTGCGGCCCACTTTCCGTTTTGAGTTGTGCAGGCCTGCTCTACAGTATTTAAGAAGCACCTACAGATAGGGATATCATTTGAAATTTGTTAGATTGAAAGAATCTAAATATATAACAAAAAACCTACAATTTTAAACCTGTAAGGTATTTGACAATTATTTACCATTTCGGGTGGTAGCGAAAAGGTATCGATAAAAGGAACTTGCTACAAATATAAATGCTGGAACATTTCAAAATATATTAAGCAGTTGCTTAGCTAGGGCTTAATCGTGGGGTGGGCAAAGAATTTAGACTCACCTGTTCCAAAGACCAAAATAAAAGAATAAAATAACAACAACCAAAAAACAACAAAAAAAAAACAACAAGCAAAAAGAAGAAAAAACAACAACAACAAAGTCTGCAGTTGGCAGACAATGCCACCCTTCCGTATAAAGAAGAAAGTGCCAATGGGGCCTGATCACCCCCTGAAAGTGCCAATGGGGCCTGATCACCCCCTGAAAGTGCCAATGGGGCCTGATCACCCCCTGAAAGTGCCAATGGGGCCTGATCACCCCCTGAAAGTACCAATGGGGCCTGATCATCCCCTCCGTCCGTTTCTTGCGTCACTTGTAGTGAGTTAACTGATTAGATGGAGTATCTTACCCTCTCCGTCTTTACAATGACGACATCCGTGTCTTGGTGGTTTATATTCGCCATCTGCTACGACACTTCCGGGTATCTTTTCTGCGATATGTATTTAAATATATATGCGTGATGCTGAGATTCCAAATTACTGTCGAGCTGTCTGCACTACATATATTATTTTGATGGAATCTTCAGATCTATCGCGATCGGCAGGTCCTAGTTATCTCGAGCCACTCTTCAGATCGCGCTGGACCAGCACTTCAGACTTGCGAAATAAAAAAAAATAATAAAAAAAAAATAATAAAAAAAATTCCTCACAATATAACCATGTAACGTACGACCCTTAACTGTTGTGAAAAAAAATATTTTGTCAAGGTTTTGACATACGCAAACTGTTAGATATGTCCCAAAATTTTTCTGGATATCTGTCACATTTAAAATCAAAAGTATCCTTTGAAGATCTGAAGCAACATATCCCAATGGCAGAATTTTCAAAGTATTTAAATATGATGTGTCACTATGGCTATGTCTTTGGTATCGACTACTCCTTGTGTTACTATGGCTATGTCTTTGGTATCCACTACTCCTTGTGTCAATATGGCTATGTCTTTGGTATCCACTACTCCTTGGGAATCAAACGTTGACAGATCTAAAAACACGATGATGTGTGGGGACGATCATAAAAAGCCTCCGGTCCGTTGACAATGTCGGACTGCCCGATGAGGCCCTACTATGTCTTAGATTTTATAAGAACTGAAGCCAGACTTTAAATTGGGCTCTACGCCAAGTTATGCTAGGAACAATCAAGACATGATGACATCAGATTAGAACGGTCAAGACATGATGACGTCAGGATATAAATAGAAAAGGGTGGGCGAGGTCATTGACCACCCCCCACTCTCTTATATACACTCTTCTCTCTCTCAATGCTAAATATATTTTCGTGGGAATTCTAATTTGAAGTATGTATTGAACCAACGGATTTCATGTACACATTTAAGAATAATAACAAAAGGAAATAAAAAAGAACTAAAACTAAGACCATCGGTGAACGCTCCTTCTGCTTCCATGGGCCCACGTTCTGGAACCAGCTCCCCTTCCATATACGTCATAGTGAAACCTCGTCCATTTTCAAAAAGTCCCTTAAAACTCATCTGTTTAGTTCTATAGAATAGTAGTTACTATCCTAGTGTCTCATTTGTATTTACTTAGTTTACATGTTTTAATAATTGTAAAGCGCTTAGAGCTTTATGATAAGCGCTATATAAAAATGCCTAAATAAATAAATAAATAAATAAATAAATAATTTCTCGCATTTAAAAAGAACACGAAACACTTAAAGTAGAAATGTATATGCTATTCTGCATATTGTAGTATCTTTTCTAACTGGGAACAAGTATTGCTTCATATGAATGGTATACTTTAATACAGACTAGTTTAAAATGTACAACGTTTTGTCAGTATCATTTCGTATTCCATGGAGTATTTTTTTTAAACAGATTTTAGACAAGACATTTAATAGAGATGCATTATACATTTGTTAAAGCAATGACATTAGAGGCAAGGTTTAACAGTCTTCTGCCAATGACATGAGAGGCGAGATTTGGAGTCTCCTGCCAATGACATGAGAGGCGAGATTTGGAGTCTTCTGCCAATGACTTGAGAGGCGAGATTTGGAGTCTCCTGCCAATGACTTGAGAGGCGAGATTTGGAGTCGTCTGCCAATGACATGAGAGGGGAGATTTGGAGTCTCCTGCCAATGACTTGAGAGGCGAGATTTGGAGTCTCCTGCCAATGACTTGAGAGGCGAGATTTGGAGTCTTCTGCCAATGACTTCAGAGGCGAGATTTGGAGTCTTCTGACAATGACATGAGGCAAGATTCGGAGTCTTCTGACAATGTCACGAGAGGCACGATTTGGAGTCTTCTGCAAATAACGTGAACATTTTTACTCATGACATGAAATTTCAGAAAATAAATCATATTAAGTCCAGTCAGAGGGGCAAGTCATAGACTCAAATGTAATAAATAATTCGTCATCAACAGTAGTAGGAATGTATGAGATGATAAAGTTCTGTCGCACAAACGACTTAATTTAACTATAGCTACCCACGCAGTTAGCAAAATAAAGTCCCTGTTTTTTGTGTGGGTTTTTTGGGGGTTGAAGAATAATGAATAGTAAATTATAATATGATCAATAATTAAAGATCAAATATTTTTGATCGCGCAAAGATTGAACAGTAGAATATTATAACATACAACCCTGAAATGATGGGATATGGTACTGCAGCTTTGTTCATCATGCACGCTACTGAATATGAGGGCTACTTGTAATCATCTAAAAATTAACATCTAGTTCATATTAAATGGGATTAGTTCGATTGGCGCAAATACGAAAAAAAATGTGTTATGAAAGGTCAAAGGGTTTGAACTAAATCGAAGAATCAACAATTAATGTGAAGTAGTTCCATCGTGACGCAAGCCGATGACATAATCCGTGATGCCAATAAATACCAAGGCGAAATTTCAGTACATCTGGGTACAGTGGTGTAGCTGATTACAGTGGTGTAGCTGGGGCTAGTGCCGCCCCACACGCGAAAATCCCTCCCGGCTGGGTTTAAACGCTACTTTTCAAAATATAAAAAGGGTGCTACCCGTTGCGGACCCCCCCCCCCCCTTTTTTTTTTTCCCCCCCC